AGCCACAGGAGGGAACTCCAGTGTTGAATTTCACTCCTCTGGGCAAAACAAGAGTCAACCACTGTCTTCAAACAAAAAATGGCACCTACTTGGGCCCAGATCCCCAACTGTAGTGGAGACAATGAAAGCAATTCAACAGCCCCTGCTTTACCTCATCTAATGCTAGTCCAAGTATTCCCAATAATTAGGCCTTTCAGCCTGGAAAGGCTGGAGCCACAGCTGCTTCCTATTTTCCCAGAGCTGTACAGAGCATTAGTCATTTCACTGGAGCTGTTTTATTACTGTGACTACAGCCAGAACCCAGGCCAGCCAAAGCAGCCTGGATTCAGAATGTGCTTCAGGAGCTGGAAATGCTCCCCTGTCCCCTTTCTGAGTCCTGGCTTTTTCCTCCCCACCCAAACAGCCCAGGACTGCCTGGAGCAATGTCCTGCGGGGTCTGGGTTCCATCATGGACTGAGCTGACCCAGGGATGGTGGCACTGCCACCCCAGCCATTAATCATTAACCAGCCTTGGGAGTGACCTTGACACTCAATTAGTCATGAAGTCCTTCCTGAAGGTGAAGCTTTTCCTTGTGCTGTGCTGCTTGGAGAGGGGATGAGGGCTGGATTTAGCAAACAGGAGTGCTGCTGTGGTTTTGTGTCACCCTGATTTTTTAAGATTTTCTAAGCCTTCTGATGTTTACATTCTTGTAGCAAACTGTCTCACACACTTTATATAAATAACTTATTGTTTTACATTCTTTTATAGAGGAAGAAAAATTTGATGGACTGTTGGTTTTTCCAGTGGCACTTTCACCTTCCAATCCACTGTCACTTTTGGAAAACTATAAATGTTAGAGTTTTCTTCACCTTGAGAGCAGTGGTGTGTGCACTTGTGTTGTTTCGTGTCCTATAGTAGCAATTTTGGCAGTGCACAAAGGGCAGTGGGTGTAAGGCAGACCCATCTGCCTTCACCCACCAGCTTTGCTGCCTGGGTTGTGCCAGGAAAAGCTTGATTTTAGCTCTGGAGGCTCCAGGTGCTCCTGGCTGTAACATCCACTCAAGGGCCAGCCACTGATGTTGGGTTTCCAGGTTCTCTGCCCTCAGTCAAGAGCAGCATTTGACCTTTTGTCCTGGTTCAGGGCAAATTTGGGAGAGAACCCCTAAAGGGGCTTCTCTAAGAAAGCAGATTCAGTCGGGCTTCCCCTCTGACTGGCCCGGGAGAAGATACCTCCTTGGAGAAAAGTGGAAAAAAACCTAAACAATATTAAACAATAAAATCCCTTGCCACTCCAAAAGAGATGACAAACTGAGAAAGTCTCTCCCCAGGTTGCAGCTCAGCTCACTCAGTCTCTGATCAGTCCCTCAGTGCTGGAAATGTCGCAGGCCAGGCCCGGCCCGGTGGGCCTCAGGTGCAGCTGCTGGTGCTCTGCTGGGTGTTCAGTCCAGAACAGGTTAAACAGGGCCAAAGAAAACGGAAAAAACCTCAGTCCAGGGAACTTCTTTGCCTCAGCTAGCTAAACTAACTAAAAGCAAAGGAGAGCTCTGTCCCGCTGTCTGTCCATCCACAGACAACACAGCCCAGGAGCAGCAATGTGGAGGAGTGAGTGCAGTGTCTGAAAACACACTGTGCTTCTTTTGTCCCCCCTTCACTCTCTGGAACAAGTCTTAAAGGTGCAAAACTTATTATTCAATGTGGGGGCCTGAATACATGTTGTATTGTAAGACCTATGTGGTTCGAAGTTACTCTAAACGAGCTGCAGCTGCAGGGTCCTTAGTTGGGCAGCAGCTGTGGCTCGTGAGGGTAACTGAGATAAATAGGGGTGGGTCGAGAGCCCAGGAGGAGCCCCTGAGAAGATAGAAGAAGAGCCCCAGCAGAGAGGGAAGAATAACACTGCAGCAAAGATTACAACAATTCAACATGACAGAATGAGATGATTTGGGATAAAAGCATCATATAGTCAACCTAGGATACCTTTGCAATTTCATTTATAGCACCTTAACAAGTGGGGATGACCTAGAGAGCAGCTCCAAGCCAGAAGCTGCCTTTGCTATGCTGTGGCCACCTCCCAGCCCACTTTCAAGGGATGAACCTTTCTGCTCTTCCCATGAAGAGAGGAAGATTTCTCTGGAAATGATGGCAATGGGAGAGGCTGGCCCTGGAGGTGGAAATTGAGTAGTTGCATGTTATTAATGTGGGAGCAGAGAGATGAGCTAGAAGTGCTTGTCTCCTCCCCTCACAGGTAGAGCTGTGTCTGCCCAAGGAGGCAAATCCATCCCATAACCAGTGATTTTCCCTGGTGAATTCCTGCCCCTGAGGTGGTTGACTCACACTTTTTGCCAATTTGCATTTCACCTAATGCTGGGCAAAACTGGTTTGACTGAGATAAGGGCTGCCCCAGACACTGCTGTTGAAACCCCACAGTGAATGCCCCAAGACTCTTAACATCCCTTTTTTTCTTCTTTTTTAAATTCTAAAAGTTTCTGCCCTTCATAATTTCAGCACAGATGGGAAGATTTCACTCCATAAATACCAGATTTCATGTCTGGACAGGAGCTGAATTATGGGATCATCTGATTAAAGGCCCACATTAAATCATTAATGAAATGAGCTGCTTGATTATATAAGTCATGTTCCTATTATTTCTAACTTGGCCACTGGCTGAAAGAAGCTGGAAATTCCAAAGAAACAGCCAACCTTCTCTGTGATTCACACTCCCCCAGCTAAAGCTCTTAGGAGGAAGGGAGGGACACCATTTCTCAGAAAAGTGGGGACTCAGCACTGATTATGAGCTTTCAGATGGAGAAAGGATCTCCAGGAGTGAAGGAGATCCGAGATCCTCATTTTCAGTCAGACATGTTTGGTTTGTTATCTGTGGAGCACTGCTGGCTGTCAGAGGAATCTCAGTGTCCTTTGGGTTAATTTTTCCAGGAGAGGTTGGGATGCTGAGAGAAGCAGGAATCCAGCTGTGTCTCACAGCTGGCCAGCTGCTGCTTTCCTGAGCTGTGAGCAGGAGAGGAAGATGCCTGCTGCCTTCCATAGGGAGAAGTGTCAGCAGTGCTAAAAAACTCCACTGCCCTCAAATAAAAATGTCTTTTCTGGCTTTGGTTTCAGGTTCTTCCTGTTTTGAAAAACCCCTAAATAAATTGAAAAGATAGCTGAGGGAAGGAGGCTTCATTTGGGATTTTCTTTGATAGGGAACTTTCGAATATGATATTAAAAGAAAGGAGAGGTTTTTAACTAAAGATCTGAACTAAGACCATGTTTTTCATTTAGTTCCTGATAGCCCTGTACTTCAGGGCTGTAGGTGAGTCAGGACACCATTTAGAGCAGTGTCTGTCTCCCCTGTGGACACTGAAATATCTTGCTGGATCTGGCTTTTAATCTGCGTGGGTGTCAATCACCTTTCTGGGAATTGAAGTGAAAAATATCTTATTTTGTCCTTGCTGTTTGTTTTCCTGCCTGGAAGCTCTCTGGAGGACCAGAGAGGGAGCTGAAAGTTGCTGAATGTGTTCCTGAGGCCTCATGGACTCAGTCTCCAGCAGTCCTTGTGTGTTCAGGAAGGAATGAGCACTTCTGACTCCTGCTGCTGAGCCCTTCCAGGCTGTGCCTGCTCAGGGAGCAGAGAGGTGCTGGGGCTGTGCTCAAAACACCCCCAGAAACACCTGCACCTCCCTGCTGCCTGAGCCAGGGTCTGGGATGTCTGGATGGACCAATGTTCCTGCCTGTGGCATTTTTTGTGCATTTTTTGTGCTCTTCCTGAGTGTTCAACCTCTTCAGGGTGACCCGCACTTGTTGCTCGTAATGCGAGCAATAAAAACCTTCTGACAGGGGTCACAGCTCTGCTCTTCCCCACCTTCAGGAGAACACTGAGCTGTGTTTTCTCTGGAGGCTGGGCCTGGATTTGTGAGCAGGACTGGCTCACAGAAAGGCTGGTGTGGGTTGTGGCCCTGCACAAGCACAGCCTGTCCCATGGCTACTGCAGTGGAGCTGGCTCCAATAGGATCCAACTCCAAGTTTTTATGGACATTGCTTTGGGATTTAATTTCTTTCTGGAAATTTCCCAGTAAACAAGCTGGGTTCTAAAGCTGTTTCTTGGGCAAAAACCTCAGCAGTAGGATCAGGGAGCATAGTTAAAGGATGGTCATTTTTTTCCGCCACAACTGGTGGGTATGATAGAGGATGGATAAGAGGCCTCCACCCATCAGAGGGGCAGCTAAAGACACAAAAACTGCCTCAGATATTCTCAGATACCTTTGTGTGGGCAACCTGAAACCTGCTGCTTCCCCATGGAGGCAGCAGAGCTTAGGGAGAGGCTGGGATTTGTGTAAAATAGACATTCTGCTTATTGATTGGCTCACTCTGTGTGCCTGGTGCCCTGCCCTGAGATCCCTGTCTGAATTTACACCTGAATATTGGCTTGAAGTGGAAGGGCTTCATTCCTTGGGCTCCCCCAAGGCCAGGAGACCTCACCTGACTTGACCTGCAGTGACTGGCCCAGGGGGGCACAGGATTCCTGGAGGTCCTCTTGTGTCTCCTCCACCCCTCGTGCCATGGTGAGAACAAACCAGTACTGGTGTTAGGTCCAACAGCCCAGTTGATCCTTTCTACCTCTTCAAATCCAGGGAAAATGATCCCAAATGGATCCTTTCCATGTGTTCAAATCCAGGGAAAATAATCCCCAATGGATCCTTTCTACCTCTTCAAATCCAGGGAAAATGATCCCAAATGGATCTTTTCCATGTGTTCAAATCCAGGGAAAATAATCCCCCACCCAAACCACGCTGTCCTATCAGTGTTTGCTGGGCTGGGATCCTGCACTTTGCTTGGCCCTTCATGACCATGGATAGCTGGGAATGGGAGTTCATCCCACCTAAGTGTTAATAGCAGAGACAGAGACACTTCAAAACGTGGATTTTTCTGTGTTAAACCTGCTCTGATGGCAAGAGGAACCCAGCACACTCACTGTTGTATCTAATTATATAATTATTTTGGATTTTCTTCTTCCTTTGCCTTCTAGCTCAGCCTGCAGGATGACAGAATGGGACACAAACCTCCCAAGCATCGAGAGGAAGCTGGGACTGCAGATATGGGGCATAGAGGTAGGACAAGAGGGATGGCACATGTCCTCTGTCACAGTCATGGCACATGTTCCTCTGCACATCTGTGTGTTAATGTTTCAAGGAAGATTAATTCTTGCAGTAATCTGTGTGGGAAAAGAGGGTCCTAAAGATAAGATAGAGTGGGAAACAGACTGAGTATTTCCCCATGAAATGTTCAACGTGTTATTGTTGTGGTTTCCTGCTCTGTAAAACAGAGGTGATAATTTTTACAAAGGAAACAGGAATGTGGTGGGACTGAAGTCATTCCTCCAGCACTGGAGGCTTTTCTCACCCCTTTTTGGAGTCAGTGCAAGGCTTCTTTAACACAGAGAAAATCCCTGTTTCACCAAGATGGGTGATCCTTAGTCCACACCAGCAGATGCCATGGGGAAGACACAGATTTTTGCAGCAAAGGCATTCCATGGAGTCTATTGGTACTTCTTTCTTTCTGCCTATTTGTACTTCTTCCTTGCCTTTCCTACTCTCTGTCACTTTAAGGAGAGATCCTGCAGCTTGTGATTTTGCCTTTTTGCTGGTGGTGGTATCTGATTTTGGATTGCACCCAAGCTGTGTCTTTTCTGCCCCAATTCACCCAGATCATTCCCCTGCAATGAGAGTGGGTTTAGGCTGAGGTGCAGAATCCCCTCAGGGGAGCAGTGGGAAGAGGCTCCAACATCTCCAAGTGATATTCAACAGGTCACAACCATATTCCAAATATCACAGAGCCTTCACCTTTCCATTTCTCTGCAAAGCACTGCGCTGTGCTGCTTCCAGAGGATCTGTAATTAGAGCTGTGTGGGTTCACAGGGGTCAGGCTGGTATGCTGGGAGACAAGTCAGGCCAGCAGAAGAATGCATGGCTCTAATTTCAGGGAACCTCAGAGCCAGCTCCAGCCCAGGAGCTGCGTGGGGACTGCTGGGTGGCACAGCCAGGCACCTGTGCTGGGCAGGCACGGCTAATTATGCATGGTTAATTATGCACTTGTGCCAGAGGAAATCTGAAATTAGGGTCTGGAGGGGTGAGGGACCAGCAGTGTCCTCAGCTCTGTCTTTTCTCAGCTGGTTGCCCTGAGCCCCTAGCAGAGGGATTATCCTTATAAAGTGCTGAAAGTTTGAGGAAAACTCATGGGCACTGAGCAAAGAACTGTGCCCACAACTAAATCTAGGATGAGATGTGCTCACTCTCCTGAGAGACTCCCTACAAATTAAAAATTTGTAGGAAAATTAAAATAAATAACATTTGTAACCCCCCCCAAAAAAAGTAGGGAAATTCCCTACAAATGCAAGCTCTGGAGCACTTCAGCCTGGACCCCAGGTGTAGATCTACAGGATTGCACAAGGGCAAGGACACTAAAACATACTTGCAGGCTGTCCAAGCAAAATGATCATTTTCCATTCTCATTCCTTAGGACTTTGAATATTTCCTCCATAAGTGGCTTTTCCCTGCTCAGAAACTCAGCCCTGATTCTTCCTCCTCCATACCCTGATTTGTCACCTCAGTGCTTTGTGCAGCCCAAGCCTGTCTGTTTCATACACACCAACTGCTGGCTCTTCGCTTTTAGCAGTGACCCCAACTCTGATTTCCTTACAGAACATGAAGATGGTTCCTGTACCTGAAAAAGCTTATGGGACTTTTTTTGAAGGAGACTGTTACATCATTTTGCATGTAAGTAAGACAGCAAACACTGCTCTCTGTTGGGCAACTGGCTCAACCCTTTTTATTTAGATTTGCCTTGGTTCCTAGCTACCTGTCCTGTGGAAAAAGCACTGTTGAAGTGGTTTTGCATATGTGCTCACCATCTAATCATGGATCTGATGATGAATTTCACGTGGCTGTTGTGACAACACTGCCTGTTTAGTAAATCAGAAGTTCAGAGGAGCAGTTAACTTAGTAATTCATTAAAAGTGTTTATCTTCCAATCAACTGAGTCATGCCCAGGCATGGCAAAATGACCAGTACATTCCTGGAAAACTCAATCAAGGACCACATTTAAATGATTTGTGGGAGTCCTTGGGGGATGTGGGATGTGACCAGCTGGAGAGTCTCATTTTTAGCAGGTGATGTGGGCCATGAGGATGCTCCATGTCGTGTGTCACGTAAGCAGCAGAGGCTCTGCAGCCCATCCCATGTCCCCATAAGGACACTTCAGCCCCACCCAAATTTGGTGCAGAGCTACCTGAGCTGGTTGTGAAGGAGTGCTGAGAACCAGCTGTGCTCTGTGCAAACTGCCTCGTGGTCTCAGATTTTGGCAGGAGGATGATGTGTTACACTCACCTCCTAAAATCCCTTGCAAATCTCTTCACCTGCATGAAGAAACCTAGGTCCCATTGAACCCAAACCCATCATAGGGTGGAGACCAGAGGCATTTTCCCACTTCCTGGGTCTGAGTGTGCCTCCTGCAAACATCTCTGTCGGTGGAGAGGCAGCAACACCTCCAGTGCCCCACAGTGCCCAGCTGCACATCCCCTGTGTGCCAGGATGGGAAAGCAGGCTGGGATAGCAGCACAGGGTGTGTCTCCTGCTCAAATGCCCCACACACATGGCTCTAGGGTCCCTTCAGAGTGCTGAAAGCCTGAATTACAGGCCCATGAACAGAACAGAATACTAGAGTCTAAACTAGAGTTTAGAACAGAATACTGGAGTCCTTGCAGGGAGCTGGCAGTGTAAATATGGATTTTGATGCTCACCTTCTGTTACAACAACTTCCCCAGGCAGAAGAGCCCTTCATCAGCCCACTATTCTCCTTTTCCCTGGAAGACAGGAGGGTAAAAACACTCATCTGTGCATTCTGCTTCTTTATTGGAGCCTTTCCAAATAATGATTGTCCGTGGGACAATAGGACTTTGATCATCTTCAATAGCGATGTATTAAATTGAGTGATTTTTCCACAAATTAATTATCTGTGCCTGAGGAACAGAGCTGCATTTTATTCAACTCCTTCTGCTGTGTTTCACTGTGGTATCACTGCACAAAGCAAATAAACAGAATTTAGCGTCAAATCCAGCTTATAAAATGAGCTTTTATTACCTTTCCCAGGTGTCCACAATGGGATTTAACACAGTGGGTGCAGAAGAATAACTGGCACAACTCAAATAACACCGAGCACACCTTCTTCTCAGCCTGCTTGCCTCCTTTTTCTAGGCTGCTGGGGTTTTCTGTAATAAGATGAATCCCAGCATGCACACACTGGCTCAGCTTCATTTGGAGTTATGTCTATTTTACAAGTCAGCAGGAATTCTGAGGCAGTTTGTGCTGCTCTGTCATGTGCTGTGAGAACAACAACAAGAAAGCAAGGGTAGCATCTCCAGGCAAATAAATAGCAGTATGCATTGTATTTCAAAAGATATCCTATGAGAAGAATCTGCTTAAAGTCTTAATATCAAAATGTACGACAGTAGAACAAGCTGAACACATTATTTGCACATGCGCTCAGTTTTCCCTGATAATAGGAGTTATAAAAGAATATTAAACAGAAACATTCTTCAGTTTGGTTTATAAAACCCATGAATTGCTCTGCTGAATGAGGAGAGCAGGGAGTATCTGAGGCTCTGTCCTCTCTGCTCTTGCCCAGGAGAAAGGCAGAACTGGGAAAGAGCTCTGTGGTCATTTTGTTTTCCAACACAAAAATGTTTCCCAACACAAAAATGTTTTCATTGTAGAACAAGCTGAACACATTAATTGCACGTGCGCTCAGTTTTCCTTGATAATGGGAGTTGTAAAAGAATATAAAACAGAAACATCCTTCAGTTCAGTTTAAAAAAAACATAAATTGCTCTGCTGGATGAGGAGAGCTCCAGGTTGAGCTCCCAGGGAGTACCTGAAGCTCTGTCCTCTCTCCTCTTGCCCAGGAGAAAGGCAGAACTGGGAAAGGACTCCATGGTCACTTGGTTTTCTGACACAAAAATGTTCTCAGGGATGGGCACTCAGTTTTCCTTGATAACAGGAGTTATAAAAGAATATCAGACAGAAACATCCTTCAGTTCAGTTTATCAAACCCATAAATTGCTCTGCTGAATGAGGAGAGCAGGGAGTACCTGAAGCTCTGTCCTCTCTCCTCTTGCCCAGGAGAAAGGCAGAACTGGGAAAGGACTCCATGGTCACTTGGTTTTCTGACACAAAAATGTTCTCAGGGATGGGCACTCAGTTTTCCTTGATAACAGGAGTTATAAAAGAATATCAGACAGAAACATCCTTCAGTTCAGTTTATCAAACCCATAAATTGCTCTGCTGAATAAGGAGAGCTCCAGGCTGAGCTCCCAGGGAGTACCTGAGGCTCTGTCCTCTCTCCCTTGGCCAGGAGAAAGGCAGAACTGGGAAATTCCATGGTCACTCTGTTTTCCAACACAAAAACGGGCTGTGCCTTCACCTGGACTTGTCCTTCCCCTCTCTTGCAGACCAAAAGGAGCTCCCGTGGCACCGCTGTGGATCTGCACTACTGGATTGGCCAGGACTCCTCGCAGGACGAGCAGGGCGCTGCAGCCGTGTACGTGACGCAGCTGGACGCGGCGCTCGGGGGCAGCCCCGTGCAGCACCGCGAGGTGCAGGGACACGAGTCCGAGACCTTCCAGAGCTACTTCCGACACGGCATCATGTGAGTGGTGCCAAGTGACCCTCAGCGAGGTGGGCTGTGGCCCCTGGGGTTCCCTCTGCTTCTCTCCAAGTCTCAGAGACATCCATATCTCAAAAATGTGAGAAATACAGAATGCGCAGAATGAGTGGGTTGGAAGAGACCTTCAAGATCATCAAGTCCAACCCAGCCCCAACAGCTCAACTAAACCCTGGCACCCAGTGCCACATCCAGGCTTTGTTAAACACACACAGGAATGGGGACTCCACCACCTCCCTGGGCAGCCATTCCAGAACTTTATCACTCTTTCTGTGAAAAATTTTTTCCTGATATCCAGCCTGTATTTCCCTTGGTGCAGCTCGAGGCTGTGTGCTCTGGCTGTGTCAGTGCTGCTGCAGAAAAAGTCCAGCCCCAGCTGAGCACAGGCACCTCTCAGGGAGCTGTAGAGAGTGATGAGGGCACCCCTTGATGAGGTCTCTGGTGTCAAGATGACCTTGAGGTGTTAGAAAGTCTCTTTTCCCAGTCCCGAGACCAAAGAAGAAGACAAGATTCCTCAGCTCTCATTCTCAAAGCTGTTTATTTTCTCTTATCTAACACATTGTCTTTCTGACCTGCTGAGATCTGTCCAGCAGGTTGGGTTGTGGCACACTGACCGCCCTTGGGGTGGTGTTGGCTTTTTCTACTAAAACTATGTGTACTTTATTTACAATAATTTTCCAATACCTATCACCTATGTTAGACAGTCTGTCTCTAAACCAATCCAAAAGTGCCACCATCACAGCAGAAGATGGAGGGAAAGAAGAAGAAGAAGGACAGGACACACCCAGATCCCTCCATCTTGCCTCTTGAACCCCCATTCTAAATCCCCAAAATTCTACTTTTTCACCCTATGGTAAATTCACTATCATTCTATTCAAACCCTTGTGGCTTTTAACTCCTCAGACAAAGTTGGTAATTGTTTCCATGGGTTGAAATCAAAAACACAGGTGTTTGTGACTCCATGCCAAGGTCTCTGAGCCCCCTGCCAGGGTCTCCAGTCCTCCAGGACAGCCAGAGGAATGTCCTGGGTTCTGACAACCCCTGAGTCTCCTTTTCTCCAGGCTGAGCACCCCCAGCTCCCTCAGGGGCTCCTCACAGGGTTTGTGTTCCCAGCCCCTCTCCAGCCTCGCTGTCCCCTCTGGATGTGCTCAGTGTCCCCAGGTCCTTCCCAATCTGAGGGGCCAGAGCTGGGCACAGCACTTGAGGTGGGACCTCACCAATGCCAAGTAGAGGGACAGAATGACCTCCCTGGATCAGCACTGGTGGTGGTTAAAATTCAGAACAAAGAATTCCCATTTTGAAGGAATTACTTATTCAGTCTGGAGCCGTGGCATTCTGTTCCATTGGTCATTTTCCCAGATTTTTGCAGTAAATGAATCTTAACATCCTTTTGTTCATCTCAGGGTCTTCATTCCTCTCCTCCACAGACTTTCAAGTGCCCATTCAGAGCACTTCAGACTAATATCCACCTTCCAGTGAAGTGCTGATTTGGCTCATAGTGGGTGTAATATTCCTGAAGTGGAAGGAAAAAGTGACTGAACTTTTGTCATCCAAAAGATACTGTTGAATATATGATATGTTGATATGTTGAATCCAATCCCAGGGTCTTTGCTCACTCTGGGGTTTTTGGAAGGACTCCAATTGCTTCCTCCAAGGGAGATCTTCATTGGCAATAAACAGCCTGAGTGCTTTGGTTTCAAACAGCTGAAGGAAACTCAGACGATCCTGGGTCAATATTCTCCATCCCAGTCTGGCTGGATGTCTCTGTCTTGTGCATCTCAACAACCTCTCATGAATCTCCTCAGAACTCTTCTGAGAGAGAAAAGTGCTTTTAGCCTCATCTTGAAGATGAGTAGGGGACAATGAAGGACTGAAAATCAGACCCTTAAAACCAGTCTGTCTGGAAACCTATCTTCCTCTGAAAACAGCATGGATTAGAATTCATCTGGGTCTAAACCACATCCCTGCGGTCAGTGAGGAAGTCTGAGGCAGAATGAGAAATAAAAGCAAGCTCTTTCCACATCTTGGCAGGTGGACTCATCACCACAGCATCCTTCTGTGGGTATCTTAAGCTGGGCCAAACAAGTCTAGAGTACTGTGAGTCACATTTCTGACCACATTAGCCAGTACCTTTCCACCTAAAATAGTGGAAAGTTTCCACCTACAATAGCCAGTACCCTTCCACCTAAAATACATCAATTACCCACATGGCAAAAACTGCAATCAACAATTGTCCCCTTTTTCCCCCTAAATAGCATTGTGTCAGTTATTACTGCAGTGTGAACAAGGGATCTGTTTTCTAAAATGGTCTAGGATATGTAAGAGTGGATTAGACTCACCCAAAAAACATTAAAAATGCTGTGGAACTTCTGTGGGGGGTTGTGCCCTCTCATGGTTGTGCAAAGTTGCCCCAAGAGAGGGGATGACATTGTGACATGAAGTGATGACAGTGCTGAGAGTGGCTGCTGCACAGTGTGTATTCAGGGATGGAAGAAGAAAAATTGTGAGGTAAAATCTGAGAGAAACACAGTGTCCTGTATGTGTTTACAGTTTTGTTCTGCTTCTGGCCACAGTTTCCTGTCTAGGCTGCTTTTAATAAAACAGCTATTTTGAAGAAAACAAAATTTTAGCAGGAAGTTTGTTTTCTGCCAAGTTTGTTTTATATTCTAATTGAATGCTTATGGAATATTTCAACTTTGGGATGGCACTGCCATGGTCAATGGGATTTTCAGTTTGGTTGTGATACAATTCCATTTCCATCCCTGACCTGCCTGTTCATCTTCTCCCAGGATGTTTAATACTTGGAATCAATGATCTTGAAAGTCTTGTCCAACCTAAATGGTTTGATGTTTCTATAATTGTGTGCACAGCAGCAACACAATGCCCATAAGAGGCAGACAGACACCTTGGTAAGGACCGTCAACAGCAGTGAGGAGCACAGTATTTGCCACTGGAATTTTAGGACTTTGAGATTATTTTGCCTCCAGATTTTTCAGTTGCCACCAAAATCTTGGGATGTTCTCAGAGGATAGAGGGGAAGGTATTTTATAACTAGCCCTAACTCTTTATTCTCTGCTGCACAACAGCTACAAGAAAGGAGGAGTGGCTTCAGGATTTAAGCATGTGGAGACCAACATGTACAACATCAAGCGTCTCCTTCACGTCAAGGGCAAGAAGCACGTGTCAGCCACAGAGGTAAGAGGAAGACCTTGCTCTTCTTATGGATCATTTCTCCTTCCCTCTCCTGCTCCTACTCTCATTTTTGAGCAGATTTATTGGTGGGTATCTCATTTCTGCTCAAGAACTTCTATTTCAGGACAGTTTTCAAGTCCTCACTTGAGGGTTTGGTGTTAGCACTGTGCTCAGTGAGGAGCTGAGTGCCAGCAGAATGAGGAGTCACTGCAAACCTGTTCTTACATCCCCAGGGACAGGTTTGCCATGGCTGGGACTTGTCACCTGCAGCTCTCCTCATCCTCCCCACTTTGCCAAACTCTCTCATTTCCCTGTGACAGGTAGCGCTCTCCTGGGACAGCTTCAACAAGGGAGATGTGTTCTTGCTGGACCTTGGTAAAGTGCTGATCCAGTGGAATGGACCCAGCTGCAGCATTGCTGAGAAATCCAGGGTGAGCACAGGCAAAAGACACTTGGCTTAAGGTGGCATTTTTTTTGATGCCTAGGGAAAAAAAAAATTAAAAATTCATAGTGTTTTCACAGTGAAAATCTTATGACCAACAACATAGATATGACCAAATAATCATAAATTTTCTACTTGCCCATCTGTTGGTTTTAGAGGCCCATGGAATTGCTTTGCTCCACTTCAGACCCGGCCTCAGGTTGCATTTCACAGGCAGCCAAGGGCACATCACTAGTTCCAGCCCCAGAAAGTCATCCAGCTCCCTCTGGAGCTCATCTCTATCCCTCTGTGCCCTGTTGTTTGCATGGCATAGGATTAGAAAGTCAGCAGCTCCAGTAGGTTTAGCTTCAGTAACCACTCCAGGGTAGATTAATTTTAATTTTTTGTTTACAACATCAACAGGGAATTCTGGCTTGGTCAGTATGAGACAAGCTGATAGGTCACATCTATAGCTGTTAACGCACTTTGCAAAGGGATCATTACCCTTATTTTACTGATACAGGAACCAAGATACAGAGATCTAGTAAAGCAAGATACAGCAACAGGTTATCAGCAAAGCTGGTGGCCAAGCTTGTGGTCATTATAATATTAAAAGGCAGATGGGTCTGCCCTGTGTGTGGTGTCCCCTGATGAACTGGGAGAGAGGGAATCTCCCCAGGGAATGCCATTTTTGGGGCACAGTGGAGATCCTCTTGGTGCTGAAGAAGGTGCAAAGCAATCCTCAACACGGGAGGGGAAGCAGGTTCGTGGCTGCTGGGTTCATCTCAAGCAGGTCATCTCCTATGTTTGATAAAGAGACAGGAGATAAAGAGAGGAGTCTTTCAAAGCTATTGCAGTAGGAGTCATGGGAACAAAAAAAAAATCAATTGAAGATGGAGATTTCAGCCTAATTAGCTGCTTGACATTTCATGCTGCTTTTTTCACAGAAGACATCCACGTTTTTTGAACACTTGAAACATTTAAATGTAAAATGCCACCGTGGGGCGGCCGGGGTCCTGCAGCTCTGCAGCATCCTGCCTCGTTGGCCTCAGCATGTGTTCATCTGTCCCCCAGACCATCCCAGGGGACCACTGGACCTGCTGGAGCACAGTCACATGCAGGCAGTGCCTATTGTGGCTCCCACATACCTGTGGCTCCCATGTGCCTCCTCCCATGTGCCCTGCGGGAGCAGCATCAGCAGTGACTGCAATTAGCAGTATTTTCCTACGAGTTAATTAATAATCAGGCATTACAAACATATCTGCTTCTTTAATAGCTAAATTTGGAAGGCACTAGGTGCTTCAGGGAGCTGTGGTAACCTGGCTGGGGCTGTTGGCTCTCAGTCACTGCTTGGGGCTTGCTGGGTGTGGGGTGTGTGTCAGGACTTACCCCTGTGGGTCCTTGTGCAGGGTCTTGCTCTGGCTCGGAGCATCAGGGACAGCGAGAGGGGCGGCCGTGCTCAGATTGGCATCATTGACAACGAGAGGGACTCGCCAGACCTGATGCAGATCATGAGGATGGTGCTGGGCGAGAGGCGCGGGGAGCTCCGCGACGCCGTCCCCGACACCAAAGCCGACGAGCTGCAGAAAGCCAACGTCAGGCTCTACCAGTGAGTCCTGTGCTCCCAACCCTGTCCCTTGTCACAGGGGGCTCTGTGGGGTCTAACTCAGCTCGGTGGCTCTGTCTTGCAGTGTCTATGAGAAGGACAATGACCTGGTGGTGCAGGAGATCGCCACCCGGCCCCTGACACAGGATCTGCTGCAGCACGAGGTGAGACAAAGCCAGACTGGCCTTTCCAGCCAGAAAAAGAGGCTGTGGCTCACTTTGTTTTCAGCTGAGCACCTGCTTCCTGAAAATTATCAGGCCTTCCATCACTAGGAGAGCTTAGCCCTGCTGTTAGGTTAGGACAGCTTAGCCCTGCTACAATCTCAGCAGCCGGAGGTAGGTGGTGTGCTGAAGCTGTTCCAAGAAGAGATGGCAAATTGGTGCTCTGAGCCAAGGATTATATTAGCTTGGCAATCACAGTGAGGGAGAGCTGCATACCAGGAATAAATTCCAGATGGAATGAAGGCTTCTTAATACCTGATGTTCAAGGATAGCCTTCCCTCTGCTGACTCCAGAGCAAATAAATACTCTGCTCACGAAACCAGGGAGATTTGTTTTCCTGCCACAGCAAGTGGCTGGTCTCAGTGACCCACCCTGGAAGGAGATTTCCTGACAGACCCTCTGTGCAGAGTTTTTCAGAAAACAGAGGCTTTTCCTCTGACTGAAATTTGGCAGAGAATTGCTCATCCTTAATTCTCTGCAGTGCAGACCAGCCTATTCCAGCACAGCACTGCGCCGCAAGGCTCCCCTTTGCATCCTGATGTCAGCCTTGTTAAAATCTCAGCCTCCCTTTGCAGACACGTGAAGCCCTTTTTCTTCTTTCATAGTTCAGTTTGCAAAAGGAGCAGCCTTTGGTCCCACAGTGTGTTTGGAGCACCAGCTGTCTGCATGGGGACGGTCTCAGCACACCCCTCATTCCCTTTGGGTTCGGGATCCTGCTTCCTTCACAGCAATGCAACACTGAGCTTCAGATCAGGGATATCAATGAGGACAAAATATTCATGCAGAACATGTCTAACTTGGACCCTTCCTGCTCCTTTAGATTCAGATTTGGGCATAAATGCAGGGAGCAGCAGGGTAGGGTAGATATTTCAGTGTACACTTCTCCTGGCCCCTTTTGGAGCTGGTGGTGTTTTTGGTTTGAGAACACCTCCTTTGAGGTGTTAGACAGTTTTGGTAATAGACAGTTTTGAGCAATGCCTAAGAAAAATGCATACTTTACTAGTTCAAATTATAAATCAGCAGCCTGGGCTTGGTGTGCCCACACCTGTGAACCCTGCCCAGTGGGGTTGGTGGTAGTTGTACTGCATTTATAAACCATGGAAATTAATTAATTAATAGTTGTACTCCATTTCTAAACCAAGAAATTAATTCTCTGTCACCTCTGGTAATGTCTGCACCAGGGTTAGAGCTCTGCAAGGCTCAGAAATGAGCTGGATATGCTTCTATCTTAAATCTTCAACAAGGATCCACCTGATTGAGCTACAAATGATGAGTATTTCCTGCACAGAGTTTTTCACATTTGGTTTTTTCTGTTTCCTGTTTTTTTGGTTTAACCTCAGGACTGCTACATTTTAGACCAAGGTGGCTTCAAAATTTATGTCTGGAGAGGAAAAGCCTCCAGCCCAGAAGAGAAAAAAGCAGCATTCACTCGAGCTGTGGTGAGTTGTAATAGAGTGCAAACGATGTCGTGGGCGGTTGATACGTGCTGATCTAGATCTGACCACTAATTACAATTAAGTGTAGCTCTTGGGGAGCTCTTGGCCTCTGTAATAACAGAGAAGTTGAGTGTCTAGGGGAGGCATGATGACATAAATACAAAATTGTTAGTCATCAAATTGTGCTAGGACTAAGACCTGCCACTAAAACTAAGAAAAAAATGGATAAAGAAAATCAAGTATAAAAGAAAATACTTTTCTACATGGTAAATAGTGAACTTCTGGGAACTGTTGGTTCAAGGGATGGTGGAGTCAGAGAGAATCAGCAGGGTCAAGAATTCAACCAAAAAAGGTGCATAAACAGATAATAAAGGGGGTCTGATATTCATGTGCTATTTTCCGTCAGAGCATTTGCCAGCTCTTCCTCTCAGAAAAAAATTAGCCTCAAGGGAGCCTGAGCAAGTAAGGAATTTGGTATTTTTTTACAAGTTAGCATGTTGAAGTAAAGACTATGAGGGAACACGGCTTTTAATTAGACATTTACTTATGGGAAGACCATAAATAGCTTCATCTTCCATGAGATCTAACAAGGAGATCCTGAACTTCAGTGGGTCCACCTTCAGTAAGGTCCTACCTGGAGACTCCAGCCTCTACAGGATTGCATCTATTGTCTCAGAGAAGAAAAGCTTAAAAATGCTTTAAAACTTATCTCACTGTCCTCTGTGCTCCTTTCAAGAGCTTGACTCAGACTCATTTCAGTAGGCAATCATCTCTGCAAATTCTGGCCCTGAGCTACACATGTAGAACAAAAGATATGTCTGTCTTTCAGTGTGGCAGGTGGGAGGGACGGGAGAACCATCTGCTCTGCTTTTCCCTGAGGGCAGTGTGTGGCTGCAGCTTTTACAGCACAAGTTGGATGCTCAGAAAGCCACAATCAGGCTCCTTCCCACAGCTGCCAGCACTGCACCTCGGGTCATCCTGGAGCCTTCTGAGATAAACACGGGAGCAGTTCCCAAAACTGAACGAGGATTTTGGCATTGTGGCAGAACACAGAATGTTTTCTTCTCACTCATATTGTATCAAGCACCTCTGTTGAAATAGTCTTTTAACTTGATGGTAGCACTATTAGAAAGAAATAATGCAGGTTTAAGGAAAGAAATAGAAAAAAAGAAGAAAAAATGTTTGTGAGTCCCTTCAAAACAGACTTCATGCTCTGGGCGTGCTGAGCTGCGTCCACCCCTTCACTCCTATGCTCTCTACCAGGCAGAGCAGTTTTCCTGGCTTAGAGAGGGACAAAAAGTTTGGAGAAAAGAGATAGGAGTAGGGTTCAGTCCCCTAAAGACAGAAGTAAACATCATACTACACCAAGAGTCTTCAGTTACTTCTGATTAGTTCAAATGCTAATCTTGGACTGAATTCCACCCTGTGTTCAGTGAGGGACACTCTTCAGGCCGGTCCAGGTCCACACCCCTCTTATAATGTCTGTAAAAAGCAAAAAGCTCACTAATGGCCTTTGTGAACCTCACCAGGGTTTTATCCAAGCCAAAGGCTATCCTTCATCCACCAACGTGGAGGTGATCAATGACGGAGCAGAGTCAGCCATGTTCAAACAGCTCTTCCAGAGGTGGACAGAAAAGAATGAAACACAAGGGCTGGGCAAGGTCTACACTACAGGCAAAATTGGTGAGCATGTTGGTCCTGGGTTTGTCTTTCCTACCTGTGCTAAGCAATAGCTGAGGAAGCATCATTCACATCAACTGTCTCCTGCCTTCAGGATCTCAAAAATCTAATGTACACTCTGCTAGTGCCTTCTATTTTCCATCTTCTTCAGTTGATGGAAAGGATTCATGAACTGAAGGACATTCAGCTCTGCTGAATTTGCTTATATGAACCAAATTGCCACTTACTGTGAATATAAATGTTGTCAGAGACTCACTCCTCTCTGAAGAATTGTATGCAAAATCTCTCACTTCCAGATCTCCCAAATTTCCTTTATGAAGGGCTAATGCTGAGCCTGATAAAGAGCTCTGCTTTCATTTACACTGGCATCCATCCAGTCCCCTTCTGACGTCAGTGGAATGATGCTGTATTTACACAGGGTGTAAATGGTGTATTTATCACACTGCTGAAGGGAATATTACAATGCATTAACCCCAAAGACTAAACAATTCCAAAGAGAGAGAACTTGTTGATGAATGATTGCAAGGTGACAGAGATGCTGAACATCTCCATCAATAACAGCCTGAGAGCCACAAATCTCTTTCCCTTGCAAGTTCTCTCTTTTCTCTCCATCTCTGTTTCTCTCTGTGCTGTCTGTAAATACTCCCTTTCTTTGGCATGAGCTGGAGAAATGTAGGCATTTTATTTCTGAAATCAGCATTTTTAAAATGGGAAAATATTTATGGATTTGGAAAAAAATTAAGATTTTTCAGTCAGGAGACTAGTAATATTTTTACCAGCTAGCTGTCACTGGAACATGCTGTGTGGCCAATTCCAGCCTGTCACAGGTCAACACTGAAGTGGGTTTGCTTTTGCATATTCCAAAATCAGCATTGGTTTACTGGGGGCAGGAGTGGCTTTTTGCAAACCTGGACTGGGTTTTACTTGCTGTACAGTGGTTGTGGGTGAGGATGGGAAGGGTTTGTGTGGTGCAGTCACTGGATTCTTGTTTTTATTCTGTTTTTGTTCTTGCTTTTGTTTTGTTTGACACAGCCAAGGTGGAGCAGGTGAAGTTTGACACCACCCAGCTCCATGCCAGGCCTGAGCTCGCGGCTGAGCAGAGGATGGTCGATGATGCCTCCGGGGAGATCGAGGTGAGACAGCTCCTTTGGCTGGCAGAGGGTGCAGTGATCAGCCTCTTTCCAAGCATTTCTTGGTTTGTTCAGCTTGGAGGAGGCGGAGGATGGACCTCATGGCACTTCAGACCTTCCTCACGAGGGGCAGGCACTGATCTCTTCCATCCAGTTGTGGGACCTGAGTGAACACCTGAAGCTCAGTGGTAGCCAAAAAGTTGTGCTCTGTCCTCACTTTGACTTCACAGCTATTAACCAAGATGTTTTTTGTTCCCTAGGTGTGGAGGATTGAGAACTTGGAAATGCAGCCAGTGAATCCCAAGATGTATGGGCAGTTCTATGGGGGTGATTGCTACCTGGTCCTGTACACCTACCTGAGGTCAGGCAGACCCCACTACATTATCTACATGTGGCAGGTAGGTCAAAGCAGAGAAGAGGGCACTGTGCTGTGCCTGCTGTACAAGCCTAAAGCTGAAAGAGGCAATTGCACACAAAAATCCCTACCGAAGCACCCAGAAGAACTCAGACACACTTTGCTCATCAATTTCAAATATCCCAAGCTATCCTTTGTAGGTAGCATGGACACTGATCCCAAACTGGCATCAGGCTGAGCATCAGCAAAATCAGACAGAAAGAGTGAAGATTGGTGGGGCTTACAGTGCTGAGGTCAAAGTCTGGAGCTGGATTGTCCCTTAAAGCCTCAGTTCTTAGAGTTTTGTGGTTATATGGATATCTCTGCTTTCCTTTTTAAAGTATATCTTCATGCAGAGAGAAGCTTCAAAATGGGACGCTGAAGTCTGCAAATGAATGAAGTTTGCAGAATGCCAGTGAAATTTAAATATCTGGAAGTTTTAACTTTGATGTCATGATATGACACACTTTGGAACTGGCAGGTGTTGAATTGTGAAGAGGTTTGTAGGTTTGTACCCCTGTTCTCATCACGCTGTGTGTGTCACCCCCCTGTCCCCCAGGGCCGCCATGCCTCCGTGGATGAGATCACTGCCTGTGCCCTCAATGCCATCGAGCTGGACAGGAAATACGGGGACGAGGCCGTGCAGGTGCGGGTGACCATGGGCAAGGAGCCCAGGCACTTCCTGGCCATCTTCAAGGGCAAGCTGGTCATCTACGAGGTAACCTGCTCTCAGGTTTTGTGTTGCTGAAATGTCACCCCAGGTATTAAAGAGTCTTTTTTCCCAGCCCTCTGACCAAAGAAGTTGGGATTCCTCAGCTGTGGTTTTCAAGGCTGTTTATTTTCTCTTATCTAATACATTCTTTCTCTGACCTGCTGAGGTTTGTCCAGCAGGTCGGGTTGTGGCACACTGACCACCCTTGGGATGGTGTTAGTTTTTTATACCAAAACCTACGTGCACTTTATTTAAAATAATTTTCCAGTACCTATCACGTATGTTAGACAGTCTGTCTCTACTCTAAACCAATCCAGAAGTGTCACCATCACAGAAGAAGATGGAGGGCAAGAAGAAGGAGAAGAAGGACAGGACATGTCCAGATCCCTCCATCTTGCCTCCTGAACCCCCATTCTAAATCCCCCAAATTCTACTTTTTCACCCTGTGATAAATTCACCATCATTCTACTCAAACCCTTGTGGCTTGTAAATCCTCACACAAAGTTGGTAATTGTTTCTATGGGCTACAATCAAAGGCACAGGTGTTTGTGACTCTGTGCCAAGGTGTCTGAGCCCCCTGCCAGAGTCTCGAGTCCTCCAGGGCAGTCAGAGGAATGTCCTGGGTTCCAACAACCTGCCTTTGGGAGGTGGGAGCACCAACGGTGGCTTGGCAGCTGCAGTGGAAATAGCCCAATAAAAATGGGCTGATATTCAGGAAAGGAGCCTGCCAGCCCTGCCCAGACTGGCAGACTGAACATTCTAGTACTCCTCAAGCAGTCTGAGCACTGTTGTAGTAAACACAGCCCTGGACTAACCCAACTCAACTGAGCTCCACCCCTGAGCTTCAGCAGTGATGTATGGAGTTCATTACGACTCTGTCCCAAAATATTTTGCAGAGTTAGAGTAAGGCAGTCATCCTGTGAATTACCAGTGCTGCTATCCAGAGAGGGTCATTCAAAATATCATACAAACAAGATTTGCATTGTCCTTGCCTGAATCACATCACATAACTACCAACCCACTTCACTTGCTGCCTAGCCTGCTGACATATGTGGTGGAGAAATTCCACCTGTGGCTGTGGGAGAGGGGAATTGCCCTCAGCTCTCAGTGTTGGTCCACTATATGGTTTCCATGGCAGGTGTTCAGTTAAGATGAGCACAGCTGGAAATCAGGGTACAGATGCCCTGCAGAGTTTGCCTTGGCAAATCCTCTACAGACACCATGATCTGGTCACATGGACCTTGAGCATCTTGATGGGAGCTGGTCAGGACTCCATAATCAGGGAGAAATGTGGGAGTTGTGCCATGTAGGTTTTGTTATGACCTGGAATCAGAAGATACTTGTATTTCCTTACCTGCTCAGTGCAGAACCATGGTTCATTATTGTTGAATTTGTAAGCAATCCTGACGAGGGGAGGAATGATGAATCTGATTCCATGTTCTTAGAAGGCTAATTTATTATGATATATTATATTATATTATATTATATTAATTATATCATAATTATATTATAGTATAGTATATTATAGTATAGAATGCTATACTAAAACTATACTATAGAATAGAGAAAAGATACAGACAGAAGGCTTAACAAAGAATGAATAATGAAAACTCGTGACTCTCTTCCAAAGTCCTGACACAGCTGGCTGTGATTGGTGGTTAAGTAAAAACAATTCACATGAAACCAATTAAACAACCACCTTTTTGATAAACAATCTCCAGACCACTTTCCAAAGCAGCAAAACACAGGAGAAGCAGATGAGATAATATTGTTTTCATTTTTCTCTGAGGCTTCTCAGCTTCCCAGGAGAAGAAATTGTGGTGAAGGGATTTTTCAGAAAATGTGACAGTAACACATTATTACAACAGTGGGCAGGGCTGAGAGCCCAGAGCCTTCCTCAGATCAGTCACACCCTGGATCTGTGTGTCCTCCTCACCTCTCAGTGCTACCTATTGGAATAATCCCAATATAGCCTGACAGGATGAGCCTGAGTTTGTCTGGCCCTTGGTGCTGAACCCAAATAGCAGCAGCTGTGGTGTTTTCACCCCAGAGACACCTTTGGCTGGCTGGATGCTGCAGCTGGGGGCTTGGGGGCAAGTCCCTGCTTGCAGGAGCTCAGATTTAGCTCTGGTGGAGAAGCTTTAAGGTGATGGTGAAGGAAAAGAGTGGGTTCTGATGGAGGGTTTTGATCCAGAGGTTTATACTGGCCCACAGGCCTCAGAATCCAGCAATTCTTCCAACAGAACTCCCCGAACCTCATGGTTGCCTTTTAACCCTTTTAACCCCAGGGAGAGGGGAGGGAAGGGGTAGAGAGCCACCAACCAGGTATGGGAGAGGAGATCCTAAGGGGCAAAGGATACCTGGATGGCCCAATGTCCCCTCAGGGGTGGAGGGCATCTTTTGAATTCTGCCAATCACTTGACGCCCTTCTGGAATTCCAGGACTGACAGACAGTGCTGGAAGGGGAAAGGAGAGGTGACTGACACACTTGGCAGGGAATTATCAGGGAGGGACCCGAGGTTCTGGGGTAAACCCTGGAATCACAACACAACAGCTGCCCTTCCCTCTCTCCCTGCAGGGCGGCACCAGCCGGGCTCAGCAGAGCAGCCCCGAGCCGGCAATCCGCCTCTTCCAGGTGAGGGGCACGGATGAGGTGAACACCAAGGCCACAGAGGTGCCAGCCCGAGCCTCCTCCCTCAACTCCAACGATGTCTTCCTGCTGAGCACCAGCCAGGTCTGCTACCTGTGGTGTGGGAAGGTGAGTCTGCAGTGAGACATGGGCACCAGACAGGTCTGCTTGAGTTTCCTGCCTCTGCTAGGTCATGGAGATGAATCCTTGGGTAGGTGGCCCATTAATTCAGTGGAGAAACAGCTTCAAGTTGTGCCAGGGGAAGTTAATACAACATACTAAAAAAATTTTCATCACAGAAGGGGATGTCAAGCACTGGAACAGGCAGCCCAGGGCAATGGTGGAGTCAAAAATATTTTAAAAATGTGTGGAAGTGGCACTTGATGACATGATTTAGTGTTGCTGGGCTGATGGTTTGACTACATGATTTTAAAGGTCTTTTTCAACCTTAATGATTCAATGATTCTGTGAGGAAAGGGTCAGACCCTCTGTCTGTGGAGGGTCAGCAGTAAAAGCCTTCTCTACAAAAGTAACCCATGTTGGGGTTCACCTCACCTCATTGTAGGTGTTCATACAGCTTTCATTCAGATAAATAAATAATCCTGGATTTTCCAGCTGTAAGAAATCAGCCAGGATGAGAGCAAATTCATTTATCTTGTGTCAGTTGTGTGTCAGGATAAGATGGTAGATCAAACCAAAGCAGAGAAGTTGTCAATGTCCCATCCCTGGAAGTGTTCAGAGCCATGTTGGATATGGCTTGGAGCATCCTGTTCAAGTGGAAGGTGTTCCTGATAATCTTTAAAGTCCCTCCTAACCCAAATCACTCTGTCATTCTGTGAGGTTTGCTCTAGGTGCCATTGGCTGCACTAAATGTCCCTTCAAGGACTAGAAATTATTTTGATCATGAGTGATCAGCTCAAAAGCACTCAAGCAGGTCTGAAGCTCTCCAGAGGACCAAGCCAGCTTTTCCCCACGGATAATTTCTGCCAGTCTGCCCCTAACTGCACCTCAATCTTTTATCCTGGACACAGGGATGCAGCGGAGATGAGCGGGAGATGGCAAAAATGGTGGCTGACATCGTTTCCAGACGGGACAAACACACCATCCTGGAAGGACAGGAGCCTGCAGAGTTCTGGGAAGCTCTGGGAGGCAAAGCACCTTATGCCAGTGAAAAGAGGTAATAGTGACCTGCTGGTTCCTGTGACCAGGGGACATTAGGCAAGGGAGCAAAACTTTGCAGGAAAGTGAATATTTTGTGTCATCAATAAAGGGAGCATGAGGCCAGAATATAACCAAGGTCTTGATCAGAAACCACACCAAGGTGTTTCTTTCCTGGCTTTTGAGCCAGGAGGTCTCCTGAAGTGGGAGCTACGGGTCCAAAGCCTGCAGACAAGGATGTGCTACATCCTCCTTTCTCCCCAGTAAAACTATCCCATTATCTTGTCCTGGGGGCTGCAGGAACCATGTGCTCCATTTCCAGCCATTACCAGCAGCAGCCCCAGGAGAATCATGAGACTAAATCTGCTTTTGGACAACATGGATTTCCCCAGCCCTCTGGGCTGGTGATGATTTCCTCTGCAAAAAGTGATCTGGTGTGGCTTTCACCTGACATCAAGCTCATTGCCACAATGATGGAAGTGTTCTGCTTTTGCCTTTTTGGGTGGAGAAAAAAAAAAATTACCTTTGAAAAGCATTAAAATAGTCCGAGAATCCCCTGATACCTAACATTGCTGGCTTCCAGGCCTTTAGATTGGTGCTGCCATGTTCCACCTCTCTCCTCAAGGCCACAACAAGCACCTTCAGGGCCCTGCAGTAAGCCAGGAGGGAAAGATTGCCACATTTCTTGCTTTTCCCTCCCCGCCATGCACGAGGCAGGTTCCAGGAGCAGGTCACACACTACCAGCCTCGCCTCTTTGAGTGCTCCAACCAGACGGGTCGGTTCATCATGACGGAGGTGGTCGGGTTCTGCCAGGAGGACCTGGATGAAGATGATGTCATGCTGCTGGACACATGGGAAGAGGTCAGAAAAAGCCTCCTCCCCTTCTCCTCAGACATGTTTTAAATCAGGTTATGGCTTTTGTTGGTGGTTATTGAGTTGGGTCTTGGCCTGTGGCTGGGTTCAGCTACCTTGAAACGTACAAGAGGTGTCACCTTTCAGAGTTTACCCCAGAAATATTTATGCTCCATGCCTGTCTCAAAAGCAAAATCTTCCTTGTTTGGGTGTAAATTTGGGCTCAGAATCACAGAGGACTGTTGGGAAAACACATTTCCAGTCTTGTCTTTGCTTCCACTGGAGGGGAGAAAAAACAGCTGTGTCTGCACAGGTTCTGATGTCTCGCTGACCTTCAACTCCTTCTCCCCTTGCAGATTTTCCTTTGGGTTGGCAAAGCCTCCAACGCACAGGAGAGGAACGAGGCCATTGCCTCAGCCAAGGAGTATCTCAAGACCCATCCAGCTGGGAGGGACCTGGCAACTCCCATCATCCTGGTGAAGCAGGGCTATGAACCCCTCAACTTCACAGGGTGGTTCAACGCCTGGGACCCCTACAAATGGAGTGTAAGTTGTTGGAAAAGCCCTGAGGCTACTCAGGGGGGCCTGGAGGGTGTTGTTGTCAGTGAATATAGGGTGCATGGAGTGAAACCTCACTAGGAAGTGTCCTGAGCTTCACAGAATCATGGAATGGTTTAGGTTGGAAGGAGCCTTAGAGATCATCCAGTTCCAACCCCCTGCCATGTGCAGGGTCCTTCAAAATATGAGGACATGAGTTCTTGGTGCTGTCTGAAACAGCTTCTGCTCCTTCACCAATAAAAAAGCACCTGATTGGTGAAGCAGAGGCTTCTGCAAATGTGCTTGAATTCACAATATTCATATTTTCATAAATATTGGGTTCCAAATCAAGTTTTTGATTTCAGCCAGAAAGAGGTGGGGACTATGAGTAGTAAAAATCAAGTTCCAAGGGAAAAAAGACCCACCCACATCATAAAGGGAAAAAAAACCCACAAACCAAAGCAACAGAAGTTCTTTGTTGAAAGTGCAGCCACAGAGGCAAATTTATGAGCCAGCTTTAAGGGCAAACTGTGGTGAAATGAAAGATGTGAGCAGACAGGTCTGATGTTCAGGTTTGTGGAAAGCCCATCAGAGCTCAGGAGCTCCTGAGCAAGGTCACCCTTGGTCCCTGCACACCAGTCTTCAAATCAGAGTTACAAATACCAGCTCCTCCCCATGCAGAAATGGAAACCTGCTCCAAGAGATGACTGGGAGGGAATAATTCCTTTCTCCCCTCTTTCCCCAGGACTCCACACTGCAGGAAGACTCTTACAGAGATATTTTATTTCCTGTATCTGAGTTTGTATTGTCTTTCTTCCCAATCCATGTGGTGGTGGATCCAGTCTTGACAGCTGGATCTGCAGAGATAAGACAGCAACTCACAGTGACCCTTAAAATATGTTGATGCTTAGAACAAAGGTCAAAACTTGTGGGTTTGTTTTATTTTTTTTCCCGAGGAACTGCTGAAAAACAAGGATACAGCTCATAAAATATGTGCCTCTAAAAATATCCCCTGTAGGCAGCTTCAGCAACTACAGACAAGCCATCCAAACTGTTGACATCCCAGAAACATCTGGTGTGTGTTCTTTGCTCAGTTTTGGGTCTAAATCTGTTTTCTCTGCAGTCCATGTGTTTATGTTGCTTGTTCTTGTTGGGAAACTTTGTTGGATGTTTCTGTTAAGAACTGACATCTCCTGGCTGCTTAGGAAAACACAGTCATGAGCTTTGCCAATTTATCTAGCATCTTCCATTTATTTTTTAATACAAAATTAGAGGTATCTGGTAATACATGGCGCCTAATTACAAGAAGGAAGGACTTGAGGCTTTGAAAAAATATTTTGTTTTATCTAAATGAAGTAGGAAGGTTGGAAAAAAGGAGTACTTTCAGGCATTGCAAGATTCAACAAAATGTAAAATTTTAAACCAGCAGTAAATATTATTTCTCTTCATTTTCCTTCTGCTCCAAAGTCTTTAAATTTCCTGGTTTCACCTGTTACTGTACAACTGCAAAGGCTGAAGTCCATTATTTTTTTTTTCTTTGTTTTCAAGTGAAAGCTCGGATTTTTCTGACTGCAGGGGCTGAGGTTTGCAGGAGCTGCCATATCAGTGGCCATCACTGGGCTTTAAAATTCAGGATCTCATGACCCAGGAGTGTGGACTTAACACCCAGGAGTGTGGGTTAGAAACCAGGAGTGTGGGCTTAAGGCAGCCCATGGCTCTCACAGCTCTCTCTTTCCCTTTAGGATGGCAAATCCTATGAGGAAATGAAGAACAGCTTGGGAGATGTGTCAGCCATATCGGAGATCAAAGTGGTGAGTTGTGTCTTGGCCATGCCATAGGAAACCCCTGGGTTCACACACCTCCACATCCCCCAGCCTGTTTGCACCAAGGAGGGGACACCAGGACCAGGGCAGGCATGGGAACCTCAGGCTGCCAGCATCAGAGCTGTGCTGCTCTGTGGGAGCAGAGGGAGATGTGATGAATTACCCATAAATACACCCAGACCTCCTGGGCCTTTTCCAGTCCTGCCCAGAGGCATCTGGGAGCAGGACATTGTCCAGCTGCTCTAATGGAGTACAAATTAAGGTGTGTGCAGCTCTAAGAGGGTGTAGTTAAGTGTTTTGTGGATAGTTTACAGTGGTGGAGTCCCTGAGAACTCAAACAAGGGTCCCCTGGTCAGGAAGGGCATGGCCCAGTGGGGGATCCTACCAAGTTAATGATGTCCCAGCAGTCCCAAATGTCATTGTCACAGGGTCCGTTCTGCCCTGGGCAGGGTCAGGATGAAGGCTGGAAGGAAGTGGCAGGTTTGGGTGAGGAGAGATGGCTCATCAGGGAGGGGTGTGCAGGTAATTTAGGTGTTTTAGACATGGTAGACATCTAACCTCACCTTCTGTCATCCCACATGTGCCTTCCCCTGATGTTATCTTGCGAAGAATGAGACTGCTGTAAGTATCCTCAGTTCTTTGTAAGAGCTCTCACTAGTGTGTGCTTTTAGCAGTCCTAACACCGAGGGGTAGCATTTATGGAGGCACTGCACTAACACTTCACTTGGAACTTTCCCCTTGCTGCTTTGGAGCTACAGATAGCCTGTGCCAGAAATAGTCCCCCACAACCCCAGCAGAAAGATCCTGGCATCATCCCCAACTTGCTCTGCCAGAACACCTCATCATGAGGCATTTTCCTCCGTTTTACAGGACCTGAACAACCTCAGCCTGAACAAGAGAACGCTCAGCACCACCAACCTGGCTGGTTCAGCTGCAGCCAATGCCTCCTCGGAGTACAAATCTCACTTCAGCCACAGTGACAGCAACAGCAACAGCTACAGCAACAACTACAACAGCAACAGCAACAACTACAACAGCAACAACAGCCACAGCAGCCCTGCCATGGTGCCCAATGGGGAAGGGATTTACTCCCGAGAGGTGCTGATGCACAGAACCGTGGATGAGCTTCCCGAAGGCGTGGATCCCACTAAAAAAGAGGTGACAGCATTGATACCTTTCTAACTTAACCTGCAGCTGGCTAAGTGGGCTTTAGACCACCAAGTCCTGCTCAGACTCAAGGGGACACTGGCAGGACACACAGGTGTGAACGGTGTTCACAGGGGTTCTTGGATGAGGGAGGATCTGACTCCATGTTTCAGAAGGCTTGATTTATTATTTTATGATATATATTCTATTAAAACTATACTAAAAGAATAGAAGAAAAGGTTTCATCAAAAGGCCAGTTAAGAATAGCAAAGAATGATAAAGCTTCTGTCTCGGACAGAGTCTGAGCCAGCTGACTGTGATTGGCCATTAGAGACCAATCAAAGATGCGCCTGTTGCATTCCACAGCAGCAGATAATCATTGTTTGCATTTTGTTCCTGAGGCCTCTCAGCTTCTCAGTAGGAAAAATCGTAAGGAAAGGATTTTTCATGCAAAGATGTCTGTGACAACCAGGTGTCACCAAAAGCAGGAGCTCTGTGTGAGGAAGTTCACAGGACCATAGAATGGTTGGGTTGGAAGGGAGCTTAATGATGGTCTAGTTCCAACCCCCTGCTGTGGACAGGGACACCTTGTGGTGGTTTTAGCCTAGTTGAAGTAATTATGGGGTTTTTGTGGCAGAAAAAAAAATTTAAGTAGTAATTTTTAAAAAATGTTTTCTTGTGGTAGAATTGTTTTGCTCTGCCACCCCAGGGGAACAAGGTGACACAGCTGAGAACTAAGCCAGAATTTGCATTTTACTTGAGCTGTAGGTGTATGTTTTCATTTGAAACTCCTCCCAGAAGATATGATTTGGTTTTTTTTTAAATTGTCAGAAACCTTGCATTTCAGCAATTTTCAATTTCAGAAGAAATTATGCATCCCAGATTTCCAGTCAGCCCAAGGATTTTGGCAGTGTCTGCAGCTGAATCCAAGCAAGCTGATGGGGGGAACAGAGGATTGATTCCCTCTATTCCCTGTAATCCTTGTTTGACCAATGTCTTGCCCAACAGATCTGGCAAAGGCCAGCACCCATGGCCAGAGCCATGACCCACAGCTGAGCTCTACATGGGTTCTTCTACCCAAAATACCAGGAAAAAAACAAAAAGTCAACCTCCCATTCCCACAGGACCTTTGTCAGCATCTCTGATGAGCCCTCTTTCTGCAAACCCTTCTTTCCAGCAATGGGAGTGAACATTTCCAGTGAATATTTTAGGGGAAGGGACTGAGCAGGGGGAGATGCTTTCACTGTGAATCACTGCCCAAAACTCTGGCCAGCAGAGCTTCCCTGGTGGGCCATAAATTGTCCTGGCCACAGTATGATCAGCAGGGGCTAAATTCCAGCCAGAGCATGCTAACTCCTCAAAACTGGAACATCTCTTTGTTTTGGGGGGCTTTTATTCCCTGGTGCTTTGGGAAGTGGGATGAGGAGCAGTGGGCTGGGATGTTGCATTTCCCAGTACAAGGACAGGGAGCTGAGCAGGAGCTGTTGGTCTGGAGTCAGAGGTCAGCTCTGGCACAGTGGGGAGGGGATGCAGCCATGGGGGTGCCCCAGGCTCTGCAAAAACCAAAGCTGACCTGTCCTTTCTCTCTCCTCACTGCAGTGCTATCTCTCCGATGCCGATTTCCATGATATCTTCGGGAAGTCCAAGGACGAGTTCTACCAGATGCCCAAATGGAAGCAGCAGAATGAGAAGAAGCAATTTGGACTCTTCTGAGACTGCAGGGGGCATCTGATGACTCTGGGACCAGCCCCTGCTCCCTTAGGAGCTGCAGGAAAGAAGTGCAGGCAGTTCCTCAGTGATCCCAACCCAGCTCCCCAGTCCAGCTCAGTTATTCCAGCAGCCACTGTTCAGGGGATGGCTTCTTTCTCCCTGCAGACCCAGAACCCCAGGAGGAAAAACCTTTTTCAAGAACAGCTTCTTGACAAGATGTTTTTTGCCTCTTCCTGACACTTTATTGCTGATAGCCATGAAGACAAGTGTGTGCCACACAACTGCATTGTAGCCTCATCTTTCCTCTCCCTTTTGCAAATTGCCACATGCACTAGGCCATGATCTTCCTTCATTTGTAGAAGTTTAAAATTAGTCAAGACAAAGGCCATTTGCAGCTGCTGTGTGAGTTCTGGGTGGGGAGAGGAGGCGGAAGCCCTCAGAGGATGGAGGGGGAGCCTTGAGGTCAGGAACAAGCCAGATGCCTGATGAGGTACTCTGTGAGTGACACCAGACATTTCTGCCCCTTCTCACAAAAAACAGCAGGAATTAGTTCCAGATTAACATGCATAGCCCAGGCAGGTAAAACACATGAGAACCTGGTTTGGGGGAAAAAAAGCACATATTGTGAGTATATTTATTAGCTGATGTTTCCAGAGGATGATGACACTGAAGGCTAGACACAAATATTGATTTTTGACTGCCATACAAGACTCTGTTTTTTTCCTCATTTGACAGCAATCTGCAATCTCACCTGGCCTCCCTGACTGTGGCCAGGTGAATGTCAGAGTCCACCTGGCCACAGAGCAGAGGCTTGAGGAAGCCAGGAGGGGTTTGGGTGTGACCTGAGGCAGAGGGTGTCCTACTGAAGCTTTTATCAGGCTCCATCCCTGTGATGTCCATGAGAGTGCTGGTTCCACACTGTGGGATCAGTCTGGCTGGGGAGGGCAGTGGGAAATGTGTGCAATCAGTGACTACAGGATAAAACTGTAAACTAAAGGAAGAAACACCACCTTAAAAACTCAGACAATGTGGGTTTGCAGCTTTACTCCATTTCCAACCTGATCAGTGATTCCAAATAAACATCCAGCAGCAGCCCTGTAAGTGTCTGTGATCAGCATGGGGGGTTAGGATGGCAGCAGATAAAAGCTCTGCAGGGCCACAGATCCTTCAAACACCTGGTCATCAATGGAATTTTGGATTTTTTTGAAAAGAAAAAACTGAGGAGGTGGAGCCCCTTCTGTCTCCAAGCTCCAAGTAGCTCAGGCCATTTGTCCCCCATGCCCATGTACCCTGCTCCTGAAGCCCCCACTGGCAGTGAGCAGCAGTACCTGGCCTGACTGCCCTGCCCTGCTGCAGGGATGTGGGATGGAGGTGGGGAGCTCCAGGCTGTGGATTGAGGGGCAAAGAGCTTTCATTAACATCCAGGACCACATCATGGTGCAGAAGTGTCAAAGAGCTCTCACTCAACATTCAGGACCACATCATTCTGCAGAAGTGTCAGAATCTGGCTGGGCTGGAGAACTTTGTGTTTAAGAATTGGTAGTTAACTCAAATAAACCCCAACCCCATTGTTATGTCTCTGTTCCTACCACCACTTCATCCCATTTCTGCTTGAGGGCACAGCCCAAAACCCTCTGGAACTCCCTGTGCAGAGTAAGTTAAGCATCAAGCAGAGACACAAATCAGCTGAATTACCTGTGTGATTGCTCCTGTTGTGTTCACAAGAGATGCAATCAGTGCACATTACCCACATTTCAACCTCTGTTGGCCCTGCTGGAATCAGCAATATTTGCCTTGCCTTGCTGAGGAGTGCTGCTGCCAGCTCCCAAATTGAAGAATTGCATGTGCTCCTCAGTAAGATGCAGGAATGCCACCTACCTGTGGGCCTGACCAGCTCCACACAGTCAGATGAAGACCAGCCAAAATACAGTCAGATTATAGAGATTAGGCCAGTTTGCCACAAATTGCTTAAATTCCTGTGGCCACCATGCTCACCAGCATGAGTGGAGTGCTCCTGCCAGCACTCAGGAACCAGCCTGGGATTTCACAGACCACAGAGCTTTCTGATACCTGATCTGATGAAAACTGCTGCTGCTGCACTCCTCATGGGGGAGTTGCTTTTACTCCCTACCTCTGATTGCTGAAAGATCCTCTCCCACTCCTCCCTTTGGTGCCTTTTGCTGTGATGTCAGTGGCCATGTCCTGTTTCTGCAGCTCTTCCCTCTTGTGGGGCTCCAGCACTTCCTGATCTGTTCAGAGATAAGCTCAAGTGGTAACAACATGGGCATGTCCCTTCCTTTGGGGAGAGAGACCTTGCAGCATTGTCATCATGCTCTGCCCACCCCATCTCCATCTCAGCTTCTTTCCTACCTGGCTCTAGCAGCTTTCCCCAGCTGTTCCTATTTGATAAAGGATGTTTTTTCATCCCATGGATCTTGCCTACCTCTAAATGCAAAACAAGCAGGGGAAACCTCAGCTTCTCTGTGCAATCCATCCAAGCCCACCCTGACCCTGGCCACCTGGTCTCCCACTTCTCTGGTGCTGGCCACAGCAGGCTTTAGCTCAATAATCCAACTGAAATCTAACCTTGCCACCCAAAAAATGCAAATAATAAGTTCACAGCCAACCCAGCAGGCTGAGCTGACCTCACAGAGGAACAGAATCACAGAATGGTTTGCATTGGGAGGGACCTTAAAGATCATCCAGTTCCAACCTCCTGCCATGGACAGGGACACCTTCCACTGTCCCAGGCTGCTCAGAGCCCCAGAAGTGGTCTTGAACATTCCCATCGATGGGGCATCCACAGCTTCTCTGGGAAACCTCTTCCAGTGCCTCACTGCCCTCACAGGGAAGAATTTCTTTCTAATTTGCCCTACAAGAGCTGGTGTTGGTGCAAGTGAGGGGGCAGGAGCATTTCTTACCACTTTCACCTCTGATTTTCATCCCATGGCTCCCTAAAACAAAGTGCTGAGAGAGCAGAGACCAAACTCAGGCTGTCCCTGGGTGGGAATCCAGGATGTTCCATCCCTGGCCTTCAAATGTGTCCCCAGCAATGTGCCCCATCCCATTGGTGACCTGGAGAGACTGTGTCACTGCTCTGCCTCACTGGCCACTCCTGAGCTCTTCCAGCTGGCTGGTGGTTAATGCAATATCAGCCCTTGAGGTGTGGGTTTAATTCACATTTAATCTGGCAATGGTTTACAACATCACACAGTATTGTAGTCAAGAGGAAAAATCAATGTGTCCAATGTTTACTGCAGCATAACAAACTCCAGGGAGGGCGAAAGAATCCCAGCTTTGCAGAGGGCCTAAAAATCACTAAATCCAGGCTGTTTTGGACTAAAAAATAAGATGACCAGAGTATGTTTAAAAGGACAATAACATCTTTGGTATCATCTTCACCACCAGGGATCAGAATCCCCAGGAATCCTGATAATTTAAGAAATCAAGCAGGTCTAGCTCCAAATTCATGTATGTTGCATTCAAGTAGGACAAAGAGGCAAATAGTGACAAGTAATTGAACGCTTCCAGAATTCATTTTAAACTTTTAATAGTCTAACATACTGTTAGCAACACAGCTGGCACTTCAAAATATATATTATTTTATTTCAACAATATTCCCTTAACTCTGTAGCTGTACTTGAAGACAAATCACTCATTGCCATAAATACTGTGTTGTTCTCAAAACATTCTCATGCTGGGTTACCTCTACAGTGCAACTGGGACCAACATCTACTTCCTGTCTGTTAAAAAATGACATTTTTCTGTAAAAACACAAAGTTTTACTGTATTTAAAAAACAAAACAAAACAAAAAAAGCCCTGCTGGCAGTTGAGCCTGCTCCCTCTGTCTTTGGCACAAGACCTTCTCTGAAGTCCCTTTGAGTGGGTTTCACTTTGGGTCAGAGGGAAATCTGCTGTTCGGCAGCTTCTTTCTCCTTCACAGGATGAGAGCAAGGCTTTGAATGCAAAGTGGCCTGGCTGGGAGCCAGGCACACAGGCAGAGTAGTGCTCATGTATTTTTTATTACAACACAAAAGGAAACTCGGGTTACATAACACGGGGCTTTGTAGTGCAGCTTTCTTTTTTAATCTGTAACAGAAAGGAGGGGAATGGTGTCCCCGTTTAGGGCTTCATATGGTGAAAGATGGGTGACACCTGCAGTTGCAAGGAGCCACCTGGCACCTGGCCACTGATTGCAGTGCTGAGGGAGACTTTTCCTTGCACAGATGTTGGGTGCTGTGCCCAGATGCCTGACCAAGCCCAACCCAAGAGCTGTACTTCGCTAAAAAAGGAGTCCCTGTCCTCTCGCTAAAAGCAACGTTAAAAACATGGAAATAAAGTGAACTAAAACCACAGCTGGATCGGTTGAACAGGTACAAAAGGATTAATCTCATCAGCAGCATCAGGATGTTTCCAGCAGCAGGGAGAAGGTCGATGGCTGTCTCACACCAGGGATCCTATGGAGCACCGAGTGCTGCTCCAGGGCAGGTGCTGGGGACTGACCCTGGCACTGGCAGGGCTCTCACACACTGAATTCCTTCCAGGTCTGTAGGGAGGCTCTCTGTGGCCTGGGGGAGCCAGGCTGCTACTCACAGTCCTGGATGTTGACGAAGACAAAGAGGGTGGAGGAGGAGTAGGGGTCTCCGTTCTTGGTCAGGAGATGGATGTGGCGATAACCTGGGAGCAGAGACACAGATGGAAAATGGCCTTTAGTCCATCTGGAAAAATGTTTGCTCATGTTTGCCAAGACCCTGCACAAACACCTCCCTGTCTCAGAGCATTTTGTCCCCATTTCCCACAGGGTGCTGAACAGGCAGGTCCAGAGGCACAGCTCTGAGCATGGGTAACACAACATGCCCAAGGCCTCTGATGACAACAGGTGCCCAAAAAATCCACTCTGACCCCAGCTCTGATGGATCTGGATCACTCATCCAGGACACTGGAGCTTCTCAGAGGGCTGTGAGGAGCAGGCAGCAGGGCCTTACCTTGCTTCAGACTCGTGAAGGGAAGGGTGTACTGCCCAATGAAGTCATTCTTGGTCGACATGTCAAAGTCCTCCACCACAAACCGGACCAGGGCGAGTGCAGGGATCTCTATGTCAAATGTAAACTCTTCATTCCAGTTTGGGTTAAAGCCTGGGCAACACAGACAAGGATGGAGGTCAGAGATGTCAGCAGTAATGGTGGCCTGAGGTGTTTGCACATGGATGGAGACTTTTCCTGCCTATCAATCTAATCTGACCCAGACCAAGGCTCTGAGGAGGTGCCAAGAGCCTTGTTCCCAGCTTTGATACTGTGATTTGCTGCCTGGAATTAATAAATCCTTCAGCCTGTGCTGTTCACTGCAGACCTTGGTCCTAGCAATGAGTGAGGATCAGGACAGGGGAGGAACTCAGCTCTGCTCCACAGACTCTTGCTGGGTGGTGCATGGATGTCTTTGGTTGCCATCGGACCAGATGCAAACTTTTATAGCCCTAAACCAGGGGAGGGAAGAGAGGAAAGCTGTGCTTTTGTGTTGAGACAGCCTTCTGGGGCCTTAAGCCTCTCCAACTGCTTGAGATAATCCATCTAAGCACCACTCTGTGCCCCAATTTCCCTGTCTGCAAGAAAAGTTAATGAGGAGTGTCTGATTACAAAAAGCATAATCAAGTCTGGATAAGGGTCACGTGGTCCAGAATCACAAAGCAAACAAAGCTGAGACCCACACACATGAAATGCAGAGCAAGCTTAGCGCCCTCTCTCCAGGCCATGGCAGTGCAGTGTCAATAAACCACTCCCCAGGAGCAAACAGGAGAGGAGATCCTGTTAAAAGCCCTGCTGCCTGTGCAGAGCAGAGACCAAGGACAGCAAAATGTCACCTGGAGCTTGCTGGTCCTGCAGGGTTTGTGAGGAATTCAGCAGGAGAAAGGGATCTTTCATGTGGAGGTGCTGAGATGGGCCTGGGGTGTCTTTATTGTTTGATCTGCTTTCCACAAGGCAGCACTTATAATTTCAGCATCATTCCAGTATTGTTCCAGCTAGGGAAGGGCTGGCCAAGGGGCTGGGAGTGCTCAGCAGCCCTGAGGAAAAGGCCTGGCAGGGCTGAAATGTTCCCTACACAACTTTCACTTGATAGGCCGTAAAAATTATTGTAGGTGACGGAAATGGCCACGAGCTTTAGGAGGCAGGCCAGATTTATTCAAACAGGAAAGAGGAAAAGGAAAACTTTGTTAGCAGGCAGGAAAATATGCACCAGCTTTCCAGTGCTTGGCTCTTACTCCACACAGAAAAGCAGATTGTGTTTGTGCAGAAGGCCATGATATCAAACCCTCAGTGCACAGAGGGAAGTCACAGCCATGTCCGATTGGTAAGAAATGGTTCTTCAGCTTCTGAGATACTCAAAATTCATCTGGGCAATACCCTGAGCAGCTTGAGTAAACTTTGTGTGGCCCTACTTTAGGCAGAGGCTGGAAAAGACACCCGTGAGCTTCCTTGCATCAATCTTTTGTGAGTTTGTGACACTTTTGGGGTACACGCAGCCCCACAAGACAAGAAGCTTCCTCTGGGAAGATCCTGATGAGAACCCCTGCACACCAGGTCAAACCCAAATGCATGGAGGTAAAGAGCACTTCCAAAGTTCTAGCTCTGCAAATCTGGCAGCCTGCCCCAAACAACCCACATGGCTGATGCTGTTTTACAGGGAATTTCTGTCTCCAAACAAAAGAATAGCAACACCTCAAGTATCTGCTTAGTGTGGGCAGGATTGGGTGCCCTGGGTGGGTCTGCCCACAGGGCAGCAGCCTTGCCAAGGACCAGAAAAGGTTCCTGCTCATGGGATTGGAGCTGGGAGGAAAGCCCCTCACCGTTGTTCTCGATGACTTTGGTCTGCTTCTTGTTGTTGTCCTGCTGGACCCCGTGGATCTCTATTGTCACCTTGGGATCCACAATGGAGTTCTTGCTTTTGTTCACCTTTGGCAGCTGCTGGCCAGAGATTATCTGTGGAGGAAACAGGGGAGGAGATCAGGACACCACCAGGAGAGGGGGCTCCCTGGAGGATCCCCTCTCCTTCCCCAGGAGTGAAGGATCTGCTGTGAGAGGCTGGTGCTGCCCTTTCAGAGCTGCTGCTGTGACATCCTCCAGAGGAAGCTCTCATGAGCTAAAGCACCAAAGGAACCTTGCTGCAGCCCAGCCAGCTGCCTTGGGGACAGACAACTTTTCTGAGTGTCCCCAGTGCTCAGCTGGTCCTTGGGAACACCAGAGGTGGCTGCATGCCTGCCTGCACAGTTCTGGAACAACAGCAAATGTTGGCATTAACCTGTTACCCAACTGTCACAGACATCTTGTATGAAAAATCCTTTCCTTAGGATTTTTCCTCCTGAGAAGCTGCGAGGCCTCAGGAACAAAATGTAAACAATGATTATCTGCTGCTGTGAAATGCAACAGGTGGATCTGAGATTGGCTCATGTTGGTTGTTTCTAATTAATGGCCAATCACAGCTGGCCTGGACTCTCTGAGCCACAAACCGTTGTTATCATTCTTTCCTATTCTATTCTTAGCCAGCCTTCTGATGAAATCCTTTCTTCTATTCTTGTAGTATAGTTTTAATGTAATATATATCATAAAATAATAAATCAAGCCTTCTGAAACATGGAGTCAGATCCTCTCTCTTCCCTCATCCTTGGACCCCTGTGAACACTGTCACACCCAACATTAAACATGTGAGCAGATCCCTGGAGGATCCAAGTCCATGAGAGCCCCCAGATATGGGAAATCAGTAGGGTTAGACAACATTGAAGGTAGGACCAGAAGAAGGAGAAGGTACAACCTACACACCCCCCAAAAAGTGGATGTTACTGAGATATTTCCCAATTTCTATTCTTACTCTAAGCAGCAGCTTCTTCTTTGTCCCCCAAGTTCCTTCTGTGATGGATTTTGGATTGAATTTGGTTTGTTCATCCCGGAGGAATTCTGGCTTTAGGACATAGCCAGAAAACCCATTGTCCTGGAAGCGGCCCTGGTACACATCCATTTCTGTGCCTGCTGTCTGGAAATTCAGGGCAACTGCAACATAAATAAATAACTTCAGTCACTCAGTGAAATCAATAGGAATCTTTTCATGCTAATTCTGTTCACATGAAACTGCACTTCATGGGCATAAACATTGGCTTTTCCACGCTTCAAAGAGCAGTGGTAAACTCTGACCCTCACAGCCTGCTAGCCCTGAGGATTTCTTGCATTCAGAGATGACAGAGACAGGAGGAGCCATTGCAGCCATCCTGCTCTTCCCATGATCAAAAATTGTCCTGCAAGGAATTTCTGCCACCTAGAACAAGTGCAGCTTTTACATAAACCTCTTCATTTCTATGCTGAAGGAGCTCTCTCCTGCAGTGAAGCCAGCAAATCCATCTCAGATCATTTCACTGGCTACTCAGCCTCATTATAAAATCTCCTTTCCAGCCCAGAGCTGCCTGTTTTCATTTGCCATCCTGAGGGGCATTGATGCCTCTGCTGTTTGGACTGGAGAGCTCCTCATTGTCTGAACTCCTCAGGTGGCAGCACAGAAGCTGTGATTAAATCACCTCTTTACTGTCTACTGCCCAAAATAGATTAAGCCTCACTGCTGTCCTAACACCAGGCACATTCCTTGTATTTCTCCCAATTTGTCAATACCTTTTTCTAAAGGCATTGATGTAAAACCTGGAACAGCCTCAGTGATACCACACAGGGAGTGCACATGGACCCAGCAGCTCCTCAGTGATCCCTTGATTTCCTCAAGGATGATTTTAAACTCTTTAGCAACACCTAAGACATCTCTTAAGACACAGAAATTTATTCTGGTTGCATGTCCTTCATACCTGGTCATGCTTGAAGGCTGAGAGCATTTTAAGGCCCTTCCCTATTTTTCCACCTGCAGCAAGACTTTGATAACTGCAGCACACTGGTCTTCCTGGCAGCTGAAGGTGTTCAGGGCTTCTAGAAAACCTTATTTTGAGTGCCCAAATAGTGGATTCAGGTCTGGCCTTCCTGTACCCCAAGGGAACTGATGGTGCCTCCCAAGGACTGTCCTGAGGCCAGACAGCACAAGGGCTGCTACCATGGCTGCAGGACCCATGGAGCTCATGCTCCCTCCTCCTTTGTTACATGGCAATAACTCTGCTGACAGTGAAACTGCAGGGATTTGCACATTAATGTGCAGGAAAACCTCTCCTGATGGATTTGTGAGACAGAACATGGTCCATGGGAAGTCACTGTATCACCGTGATATTTTATGAAAAATCCCTTGGACAGGATTTCTTCTCATGGCAAGATGAGAAGCTTCTCCCCACTTTGCTGCTTTGGAATGTGATTTGGAGAACTGTTTACCCAGCATGTGAATTGTTTTAATTTAATGAACAATAAATATAATAAAATAATAAATCAGCCTTCTGAGAGTCAAAATAGAATCAAATTCTCATCTCTCACCTCATCCTGGGGACCTCACAACACCACAACACTGGGCATTATTTGGAAAACTGATGTCTCCCAGTGGCTGCAGAGCCTCTGGCTGCAAAGGGCTTGAGATTCTGCCTCACCTGGAGCCCCTCCCCAGCCAGGTGACCCCCTCCAGCCCCAGAGACACCCACCAATCTGGCAGCCAACATTCCACAGGTCCACGGGGCTGTAATTGGAAGAATCCGTCCTCCAGCCTGCGGGGTAGATACGGCTCAGGTGCCTGATGTTGTGATGGATAAAACTGGTTCCTACAGAGACAGGGAAAAAAACCAGAATTTTTTATCCCCATCCCTTTCAGTGGTGGGGCTACTTTTATCTCTTCTTGCTGCTGCTGTGTGTTCCCCTCTGCCTGTCAAGTCTGGCTGAATGGGAACCACCTGCAAAAATGCCCTCCTTGAGAATATTAAGTTCTTCCCACTTTTCTCAGTGACATACTTGACCAAAGAGACCATAACCCATGTCTTTGGGCTGCCTTTTCCACCAGCAGCTGTCCCTTTCTGGGGAGCAGGGACAGAGGAGGGCAGGACACACTCACCAGACTCCTGGGCCAGTTTCAGAGCTTTGCTCTCTGAGAACGATGACATCTCATAGAAAGCCCGAGGATGGTTGGGGTCATCAAAGCCCTCAAAGTGGACACTCTTGCAGTAGACAACTGTGTCCGACAGCTCCTTGGCCAGCTTCAAGGTGTCACTCTAAAAACAGGACAGCGAGAGGTTTGTGGGGAGGTTTTGCTGTCGTGCTCAAAAGTGCTAATTGTGTTTTCCCTATAGGACCCATGGGGCTTCTCTTTTCCACCACTTCCACCAGGAAAAGATGCACACTCTCAGTGGCTGCTGCTGTGCCCTCTGTGTCACCCTGTGCAGGAACGGCTGGAAAAGGATTCCCTCTTTGTTGGTGGGACACCTTTCCTTGCTGCTCCCTGCAGGATCATTTTTATTTCAGCACCCACATCTGTCTCCAGGTGCTAAAGTTTATAGCAGAGCCTTAGCAATGACTTTTCCATACTGTCCTGGTCCCAGGCATGCCAACCTGGAAATAAAGGGAATAAAAGGGTGTTTTGGCCTCCACAGAACTTGGGCTTTTCTTCTCTTTGAATCAGGAAGTTGTCACAATGCTTTGATGACTCCAACTCCACAGCCACATTAATTGGTGCAAGTGAGAGTCCCCAGCTCCCATCAGGGGCAAGAAAAGAAAGTCAAAAGGTGTCAGAATGTCAAAATAATGTACACATTACTGACTAGAGAACAGAGAAATAAATAAGATCTGCAAAGAGTGAGCAGCTCATCAAAGGGAAACATAGATCAATCCTGATACAGAGGCAATACCAAACATCTTTGCTTTCAGTGGGGCTGAATGTGTCTGTCACCTGTGAAGCCACCCCATGACAGATATGGTCTTCAAAAGGACCTGCATGCTGGAAAAATCCATTTCCTCACATGAGGGGGCAGAACACTTGTGTCAAGGTCAGCCTTTTCCTTCCAGCAATCATCATACAAATTGCTTTAACTGGCCACCCCTTCCCCATAGATCCTCCCTTCCTCTCTGCCTCCTCCATGTCAGAAACAAACAGCCAGTGAGGTTGCAGGCATATCCCAAAATGTGACTGGAAAAGCCAAAGTCATGACTGTCCCATGACAAACAGATTTCTGGAAATAAGACAGAGATTGAACATGTGCCTTTCCACTGCTTCCACAGTGTGCCCTTGCTGCAAGGTCCTCCAGTCTCATTTTAGAGAAAGAAGCCAAGCTTTGTGCTTGTCTGGCTCTGCAAGATCTCTGTTTGTGCTTGGGACAGAGATCATTAAGCTGGGCAAGCACCAGGATCCTCAGCCCCAGCAACTTCAACAATTCACCCTTACATATCCCCAGCTGAGTAGCTGAAACCACACTGAGACCTGTCTTGGCTGGGAACACATGAAAATTTGTATTTCAACTGCTTTTCTTTTTTTATTTTTTTAGGTGTGGTACAAAACCCATTTAAAAGTGATTTCTCAGTGATTTCTTCTTTCACTCACCTTTCCCTTCTGCTCTACCTTGGTCTTCACAGACTCATCTTCAATTTCAGCTGCTTCATCTTCATCAGAGACATCCTCAGCCTCCAGGTTGTTGTTCCCATTGGTGGGGTCCTCCTGCCTGCTCAGCTTCTTGCCTTTCACCAGGATCTTCCCTTTCAATTGCTGCACAAGGAGAAGTGGACAAAATACCTGGTGGTTAGAGAAGATTCTGGCCCACCCTGAAAAAGCCCCTCAGTAACCAGTGCTTTGACAGTCGCATCAGTGACTGGTTATTACCCAGAGACACAGATAAAAATAAGTCTGTTTTTACATTGGGGCCCTGCCCAGCCTCTGAGACCACAAGCCATGAGTCTGAAAACCCCAGAGAGCACAGTGATTCCCCTCTTCTATAGACCTGACCATCCCCTCAACCAGATAACTTAAACAGTTGTGCTGTTAAAGACAATTAAAATAGCCTTCTTTCCCCACCCCCAAGACTGAAATGTTGCTCAGCAAACAAGGCTGAGCCTGGAGGTGTGAGCTGCTGGAAGAAATTTGTGGCACCATTTTTGCCCCTCAGTGTGGCCTGTTATTTCATAAATTTATTAATTATAATTTATTTAATAAAATTATTAATAAATTTATGAATCACCCCTCACTCTGCAGTGTGTGGCTATAAACCTGTGCACTGGAACTCTGAAATCTGGATCTCAAACTCTGGAAACTGTTTGAGATCCAAGCAGGGACTGAGGCACTGCAGCCACTGCTCCACAGACATTTTAATGGGCAGGGAGCTCCAGTGAGTTCGGGACAGGTGCCTTCATGCACAACAGACATGGAATTTTATTACGTTTGTCATTCTGCATGTGAAGCCTTAGGATGCTGACAGCCTCAGGAGAATTTCCAGACCCTTTCCAAAGTTACTCCTCTTCAGGAACAGCTTCTCCTGCCCCTGCTCTGATGGTACAACACGGAGCACAAGCAGCAGCATGGGCCAGTGCACCACAGCTGGGTGCACAGGGAGTCCAGGGAGCTGAATTAATTCTCTCCAGCCTCTTTCAAGGTTCACATGAAAGCCCTTGTTGGAACCCTGGATGGTGAGAATTTCAGATTTCTGTGCTGCCAGGCACTGACCCCCAAGACAACACTGCATTGACCTGAGGCGATGGAGAAGCTTCCAAAATGGAATGGTAGAACTGGGATTGTGGGTGTGGAGTTTGGATAGAAGTGTTTGATATCACAGGGTGGGAAACTTAGGGTTTAAGGGTTTAGAATATAGTAATATATATAAAGCAAGATGGAGGTTTGGGGTGGAGGCTGGTCCTTGTTCGTCTTCTTGTTCTTCTCCTTCTTCTCCTTCTTCTCCTTCTCCTTCTCCTTCTCCTTCTCCTTCTCCTTCTCCTTCTCCTTCTCCTTCTCCTTCTCCTTCTCCTTCTTCTTCTCCTTCTCTTTCTCCTTCTTCTTCTTCTTCTCTTTCTCCTCCTCCTCCTCCTTCTTCATCTTCTTCACTTTCTTTTCCATGGGTTTGGGTGATTTTGTGTAATTGGATAAAAAAGTCCACATTGCAGGCCATGGGTGGTTAGTTATTGGGTTAAAAGTAAAAATAATTGAGGTGTCATTTCTTAATTGGACAATTTATCCTTAAAAGGCCTTGCAGAGAGAGAGATGGGGCTCCATTTTTAGTTTGTTGGAGTGAAGTGCTGTAGAACTCAAGGGTTTGTGAGACTGTGACATAGATAAGAACTGATAAACATCTGAGTCCCAACAAGAAATATCATCTCACACATTTAATCCTGACCTTGGCAAAAAAAGAAGCAAAGAATCCACAGCCCCTCACCACTGATGTATCCTTTGCACAAGCCCTGGCTGTGGGAGGAAGGCTGGAGCCTGGGCAGGGATGACAGAGCCCCAACAAGGCAGCAGCAAGGCTTGGGACAGGGAGAAGTATTGGGAAAGGTGACTGGGGGTGATCTCCAGGTGTGGGTTATGCCTCAAAATCAAGAGCACCACTGGGCCTGGCAGCTCAGGAACAGAGATTTGCTGCCACCTGGATGTGTATGGTACTCCAGGCTTTGGAAGGTATGAGTTATTCCAGAAAAATGCTATATTGGAATTAGGCAGTACAGCCCCTCAAGTCTGTGTAGTACGTTCCCCTTTCCTCAGCAACACCCTATATTTACCTCTTCTGCAACAGTAAAAGCAACAAAACCCCACCACATTCAAATGACAGGACTGTGAAAAACCAAGAATCTTTTATGAAAGAACACAGGGGAAATTTGAATCTTTTTCAAAGGACACAATTCCCCCTTTGCACCCTTTGTGGGTTCAGGCAAATTGCATCATGTCCTTACAGAGAGCAGCCCCACTCCTCAGCACCTGGCAAAGCTGTGGGTGAAGCTGGGCTTGAGCAGAAATCCAACCCTGGCCCCTGAGGCAGCAGCTGAGAGCATTTTTATTCAGCTATAAATGAGCTGTTCACAGTGGGGCACTTTCCCGATCACTCAAAAGGAGCACTCAGAGCACAGCAACATTCTCCTCCCCATCCCCACCCTCCCAGGCAGGGCTGTGCTCTGCTTCTCCACATCCATGGCTGGGAGATGAGCTGGCCCAGCTTCAGTGCCTGACTTCAGCCTGCTGCTCTCCTGTCCCACCCTCCTGCCTCAACACCCAGGTCTTCTCTGTTCTTCCACCACAAAATCCAGTTCTGGGTGAGCTTTTGGGCTCTGCTCAGCACTTGGGATGGACAAGCCTGGAAGGATTGCATTGGGGACAGTAAGGAGTGATGCCCAGAAGTTTTAGCTTTTCTATTTTTCAGATTCTGTGCTGCTTTAGTGTGCAGTTCTAAGCTTCCTATCAGGGCATGGTGAGCTCTGTGCAGAGAGCAGGGAGACAAAACAATTCCTGCTCCAGCTGGGCACCAAGGACAAATGATCCAAATCTCAGCCCAGAGCACAAACACCGTGGGCTGGAGAGAGAAAAACAAGCAGGGTGGGACTGCCTAGGCTAAAGCTGGAATGGGACAATGAACTGCAAGGTGCAAATGGAGCAGAACTGATCCCAGGGAGAGAGCCCGGGAGCGCTCGTGCATTTTGGGGCCATTTTGGTTCATCTTGGGTGCAGCCCTGGCTGGGCTCTTGTGCTGCCCAAGGTGCATCCATGGAGGCCTTTTAATAAATCCCTATTTTATAATTTAACTCTATCTAGTGTCTGTTCTAGGCCAGCCTTCACAAGGCATCAGGAGAGGCTGAGAGCAGCCCCTCTTGTCCCCTGCAGGCTGCAGATACCATCCTGGTATTTAATGTTTTATCTGTCTCTGCTTTCTAATGTCCCACAAGAAATGTTACTGCCTCCCCAAACAGCTCAGCAGTGGAGAACTAAGGATAAGGTATTTGGGTCAGCCCACTTGATTTGTAATTACCAGCAGGTAATTAAGCTTTTTTAAATCTTGTCAAGCCCCTGAAGGGGGGAAATGATGCTGTAAGTTTTAGCTTCCATGTTTTTCAGATTCTGTACTGCTTCAGTGTGTAGTTCTGAGCTTCATTTTAGGGGATGGTGAGCTCTCTGCACAGAGTAGGGAGACAAAACAATTCCTGCTCTAGGTGGGAACCAAGGACAACCAATACAAGTTTCAGGCCCAAGAGCACCAACAGCGTGAACTGAAGAGAGAAAATAAGGATGGGACTTCATGGGCTAAAGCTGGAATGGGACAATGAACTGCAAGATGCAAATGGAGCAGAACTGATCAAAGTGAGAGACCCAAGCAGCGCTCGTGCATTTTGTGACCATTTTGGTTCACTGTGGGCTGGGCTCTTGTGCTGCCCAAGATGGATCCATTGAGGCCATTTAATAAATACCTAATTTACTCTTTAGCTCTGTGTAGGCTCTGTTCCAGGTCAACCTTCTAATTCAGCCTGCACACAAGTGGGAGGTGCAATTCCTGGCACAGACCAACCCCACATGGCTGAAGAACATCATGAGGGAAGGCACAGCAACACAGCCTCCACTTTGTCTCCTCACCACAACCCATTCCAGGGCTGCCAGCAGCAGGTCCTCAGTGCTGCTGTTTATCCTATCCAGCCTCTGGTTCCTCTGGGAAACCTTGGATATGGGGCAGATGCTCCCCATGGGCACAGCACCTGCTCCTATGCCTGCAAGGGAGAGCAGGCCATGTACCACCTAACTCAGAGGAGATCCATTTGTCAGAAGAAAGGGTGAGTCTCACCCCAAAGAGAGGCATTTTCATCCCCATTTCCTGCAAAAGCTGCTATCCTGTAGCAGCACTGCAGTGAATTCCCCCTGCAGAGGAAGTAAAGTCCTAAATCTGAAAGTTTATCTTCTTTACTGAGGTTTTAAATAAGCTGATATAGACAGTCACAAACACACAGTGCCCTTGCTCCATCTCTCCTGGTTCCCCTTCATGTGATATTAAGTATTTCTAGCCTGAGGGAGAACACACTCAGCTCATCAGTTCAGCTCTGCTGAGCAGATCCCTTGTCTTAGGAGGAAGCAATAGCTGAAATACCCAATAAATGTTCTCCAAGTGGACCATAAAGCCATTCCAGCTGTCTGTGGGAAGCCCAAGGTGGAGTACAACCTCAGGAAGGGCTACAAGGACATTGGACTGCACTGAGAACACACAGTGGAGTGGCTGCTGGAGCAGATGCAGCTCTTGCCGTATGAATGGCATTCCTTGGTCCCCATGAAGTGGAGCTCATCTGCTCTCCCACCTCTTCCACTGCACACAGAACAAGCTCAGCTCTGCAGGTGAAATGGTTCTGACAACACTGGGATATGGAAACCATCTTAAAGGAAACACTGATTTTACCAGAAACAGCAGAGCTGTAAGGAGCAGGGGATTTTAAAAGATCTGCATGCACAGGTTTATCCCACCTGAAAACTTCCTGTCCCCAGGAGCACCCTGAGAGCCACAGCAGGGTCTGAGCTCCAGTTTTCATCTCAGTGGGAATGGAGGATTTGTAAAGTGATCCATCTCAACAAACTTTCTGTGGCTTCAGCACCTCCTTTAGAGTCAACAGAGAAAACCAAACACTCCCAGGGTGTGATTCCTCCTCTGTTTGCACAAACACTGAGGAGGAAGAAGTGGACCACACCTCCAACTCCTCTGTTTCTCCAAAGGAGCCCTAAGTGAGGTACATGGATACACAGGCTCAGCACTGCCTCCTGACATCCCACCCTCAGGATGAGGATGAGAGGAATCATGGATTTGTCTTTACAAAGAAGCTGTGGTAGATAAAACTAGCACTGGGAGATAAAAGAAACAATGGGAAGGATTCCACTGATTGATGAATGAAAAAAGATATTTGCTTTTACAAATAAAATTTAGGTTTGCTGAAAAATGAAATTAGACATTGAAAGATGAAAGAAACAATGGGGAAGAAAAATCCCTAAATTCCATAAGAATTAAAAATTAAAAGGGAGGGTTGTACATTAGAGGGGAATCTCTGGTATCAGGTGTATCGGGAAGTCTGTACCTCTCAAGTACCTCAGAAATGAGGAAAGAGAGAAGGGAAATGCCGCCAGGAAATTGGGATTAAAAGAGAGGCTGCATCCTCCAAAAATTTGAGAGATCCCAGGGGAATGCCCCATGGCCTCTCCCTTTATTGGAATAAAGTAAAAGGACTCCTCTGTCTCCTTTTTGGACATAAACCTCTGGTGTTTGAGGATTAATCTTCCTCACAAGGATATCCACCTCTGCAGACTTCTGGAAGCTGTGAGGAATAACATGTTCACATTCCTGAGGAGAATCAGATGCACTACCTGGTATCACATCTCCACCTGTGCAAGTCCTTCAGCTGCAAACTGAGGCGTTGCACCAGCAGTGAGCAGCACCAGAGGATGAAGAGAGACTCCAGGAAAGGGGAAAAAAGGACATTTCTGAAGGAGGTTTTGAAGGATTGAAGGAAACTCAGCTCAAGAACTTCAGGCAAGAAGATGCACCACAGACAAACTGAGCTAAGGATGGAGAAACAGAGATGTGCAGATGGACCTGAAGCCACAGTGACACAAAATGTGTGGGTAATGCCCAAAGGCACTGTCCTCATAAACAAGGAATTCCAGGGACACAGAACTGCAGGGGTTTCAGACATGTGGATACACTGAATAGTTCCAACACTGGGAGCAGTGTTAGTCTCATTCTAGGACTGTGACTTTGCAGCATTTCTAGCTGGAATGTAGGGACAGGGCCAAGGGGCCCTGGCACACCCCTGTGAAGAGGGTGGGATGGGACAGAAGGAAAAGAACCCACCAGCAGCTCCTCCTTACAACCCTGGTGCTGCCTGTCTGTGGTTTTTCACATAATTCACTATTGGGACCCAAAGACAGCAGCTTGGGGGAGGTATTTAGATAATCTGTGTACTCCAACACTGCTCCTGAATGGAGCTGAATAAATCAGATTCCTGCCCCGGGCTGCGGTGTGAATCGTTAGCACCAATCCAAACCGTGTCAATCTTCCTTTAATTACTAACCTTGCCCTGCTGACACAATCGGCAGCAATCCTTCGACTGTTTGTGTTTACAGCCTGCAGCCCTTTGCCCAGTGGCAGATCCCACCCTTTTCCTGATATAAAAAATACCCTTGTTGTCCCTGGCTTCCCCCTGTCAACAAGGGAGGGAAAAGCCAAGAGGTTCCTGGTTTGTTTGTTTGTTTTTCCCTCATGTTTCAGTTTCAATGTATTTTACACCCCCAAATAATCAGCATTTCAGCCTTTTGCACTGTCCTACTTCACACAGCATGAAGGCAGAGGAAAAGTACCAGAAGGAAAAGGATAGGTGTTGTTGCAACACTGGCAATTTTTCTGTGTTTAAACTAAATGGATCAATCCCTGCAATGGAGCAGATCAGCCCAAATCCATCCCCTAGGGTGGATCTGGGCACTGTGTTCAGTTGGGGCCAAGTGTCTTTTTGGCAATCAAAATCAGGTTAGATGAGCACAGGCATGGAAAAAACATCTTTGGGAGGTTGGGGTCATCTCCTTCCACTCACAAATCACACATTGCTTTGCTTGGTGTCACACATTGCTTCGCTTGGTGTTTCTCCTTGCTCTCATCCTATCACTGCCATCAGCTGAAAAGCCATCAGCACTTTTCCTGATCCTGCACCAGGATAAATAACAAGTCAGGAGGGGACACTCAAGATGTGTTTTTCCAGCTCAGTGAGAGCCTGCAAAGATTGATCTCTGTGCTGGGAGTGTCCTCACCCAGGCAGAGTCACTTCTCCCATGGAGGCACCTTGTCTGTGCCAGAGCCAAGGTCCTGCTGAAGCAGCAGCAGTAAAAATTCCAATTCATCCTAATTTATTGCCCTGGTGCTTAGGGATCAGCCCAGAGCAGCTTCCCTCTGTGCCAGGCATTGCATCAAACGAGGCATGACACTCCTAAAGAAAAGGAGAAAGTCAGAAAGAGAAAGGAGATAAAGGAAGAAGGGGAAATAATATAGAAAATAGTCTTGGTGGATTGTTTTCCTCTCCTTTCTCCCCTGCTGACTGCCAGCTTTATCTCACCCACAAACTCCTTCCAGCTCTGAATAAGCATGTTCATCCAAGTTTTGGAGAATGAGCAAAGAAATGCAATTTAAAGGGAACTAACCTACAGCTAACCCTTCAGGATTCTGTTTCTGCTAAGTGCTAAGGAAAACAGACAGACAGACAGACAGAAAGACAGAAGGAAAGAAAGAAAGACAGACAAGAAAGACAAGACAGAGAGAAAGACAGAGAGAAAGACAGAGAGAAAGACAGAAAGCACAAACCACATGGGTGGAAATAGATTAATGTTTCCTTTTGGCTCCTCTTTCGGAGACATATTTTCCATATCAAGATTCCATTTCCAGTTTTTTTCTGTCAGCTAATGATTTCTACTGATTTATACTGGTGAACCACTGTTGAGTGCTGTATATCTCTTTCCTCTTGCAAAGCCAGGGCTCAGCTCCCAGCCTGTCAGCTGCAGGGAATATTTTATTCCTGGGAATAAAAGGGGCATCTCTAGGCAGTCTCCTCCTTTTCTTTTTCCTCCATGGACATCTCCATCCCCACCAACCCAGGCCATTCCCAGTGGCTCCCCCAGGACACTCTCAATGGCAGGACACTTTTTGTTTAACACACTTCAGGCTCCTTGCAGTGGTTTTCCCCTTGAGTTTTGAGCTTTGCACTCAGCAGGAAGAAAAACTTCCCCTCTTGTCCAATCCTCAAAAGGCAGAAAGTGCTGGAGTGGCCTTGCTTACCTCTGGGGAGGGGAACTGGGATTTGTTTCCATCGACTGGGGCGACCAAGAGCATGTCCTGCAGGATGGTGGTCAGGTGCTGGGCCATGACCTTCTGCTGCTCCACGCTGCAGTGGTTCTCCAGGGAGATAATGACAGGGTATGGGGAGGTCTGGAACAGCAAGAGAGCAACACACACCATCAGTGAACCCTGTGCTTTCACCAGTCTACAGCAACAGGTATGAACCCCAGTGCTGCTATGTCTGGGATGTCAACAGGATGGTCTGATATTCTCCTAAAGCAAGGATTTTTTAAAAATGGAATTTGTTAAAGCAGTTACTCAGATCTGTGCTGATGCCTTCCAGAGATGATGGTCCAATGGAGAAGGCACCAGGATGGGTCAGGATTGCCCCTCACAGCCCCTGTGCCTCCATTCTCCACTGTGGGCCAGAGCACCTTCCTACCCACCTTCAGAGGAGGGACTGGGAAGGGGCTTTGAAATCACAGGGTTTGCTCAAACCCCCTAAGTGATATCAATCCTTCATTCCTGCATAGGCCTGGTCTGGTTCCCTGTGCCCCCCAGGTCATTTTGTGTGCTGAAGGCATTGTCATTATTGTCACTGTCACTCCTTTATGGCCCCAAACAAAACTTGGCACCAGCTCCCCAGCGCACTGAAGGAAAACAGCAGAGTCCAGTGAGGCTGGACAGACCTAAGATTTTCTGAAGCCTGCTGTCAATCAAGAATCCAACCCTGTTCATCCCTTTTAAAGCAGAATAAAAGCAGCCCTTCATGTCCAAAACATGCTCATGGGTTCCTCTAAAAAGAAACAGACCCTTAGACATCAAAGCCACACAAATCATGGGCTTGCTGGCATTTCCCACCAGGTATGCTCAGGATTATGAGCATAATTTTCATTGTAGTGAAAATGCACAGGATGGTCCAGGATGCAGCTGTGCTGGCACAAGTTCAAACTCATCCCTGGATGGTGCTCTCCCTGTCCAACAACCCCTACAGATGGATTTCTGCAGGAAGCAGAGCATGGATGCTCAGACAGAAGGAGCAGGAATTTCTCTTGTCCCCATGAGGTGAAGCTGTCATTGCTTGTGCTTTCTGCTGGGAGGAAAGAGCTCTACTGCTTGCGCAATATGAGACAAAGTCCCTCCTCCTTACTTGGAATGCATAGTTCTTGATGGCCTTAATGACATCACTGAAGAGGATCTTGGAGGTGAGGGTGTAGCCGTGATAAATGACGGGCTCCGAGTTGGGGCCGTCCCAGCAATCCAGCTCCACACAGCGACAGCCTTTGGTCAGGGCTCTGGAAACAAAGAAGGGACTGGTTGGGTTCCACACCTTCTGCTCCATCTCCAGGTGAGGCTACATCAGGCACAGGCACTGCCTGGGAAGAGTGGAGGGAAGTTCAGGAGCAAGGGAGAAGAAAGGAGCTTGGAAAAGCAGGAAAGCAGATAAAGGATGGGATCAGGTGGAATCAGTGTCAGCAAGGAGAGCTCAAGGCTGAGCAAGGAAAGCACAGAAGGATCTGAGAAATAAGGTAGTGAAAGTCCAAGGTAGAATTATCCAAAGAGTAAGACAGAGTGAATGTCAGATGAGAAAGGACACTGAATACTGTGCCCCAAACCTTTCCCAAAGATGGTGAAGAGAAGAGAAAATCAGGAGAGGCTGAAGTGGAAGAATGGCAGTCAGAAAACTGTCTCAAAGTTTAGATGATGTGATTTCTTCATCTAGATCTGATATGACATGAGGGATGAATCCTCAGAGCTGGGAGAAAGGCAGGGAGGGAGTTTTGGGAACTCCACCGTGGCTGAGGAGACTGCTGAGGGCCAGTTTCCTAAACCAAGTCTACAGACTGAATTTCCATGTGAAATTCCTCCCTCTACATATCCATACTTCCATTTAAACTTATTTTCAAATGTAGATTCCCTCACATCTATCTAGGAAGTGATCTTGTCTCTTTTACAGTAATTCCCCAAACATTTCAGATCACACAATTCCTTTAACTCATTGCAATAGAATCACAGAATGGTTTGGGTTGGAAGGGACCTTAAAGATCATCCAGTTCCAACCCCCTGCCATGGGAAGGGACAGAGCCCTGTCCAACCTGGCCTTGAACACTTCCAGAGATGGACCATCCACAGCATCTCTGGGAAACCTGTTCCAGAATAGTGGGATTTTTTTTTTGTACAACCCAAACATACATTTATAATTTTAAGACGGTGTAAGAGGAATTCAAAGAGCTACTGAGAAGTAACCCATGCCAGATTTCACTCTCAACATTTTTGACCTTGTGACTCCAGTCAGGTTGCTCCTGAGAATGAGATAAGTCATAAACAAAGGCAGAACTGCAGCCATTGACTGGCTCATGAGGAAACACTGTCTCACCTGATAAAAACAAGCAGTAATGTATTGTGGGTGTGCAAATTACTAAAGGTCACTGCACCCATCTGGCCATGAGACATCAGATGCTGTTAAAGGCAGACATAGGCAACACCTAAAGCTCTAAAGAACACCTAAAGTGCAAGGGTGCTGTGGGAATATCTGAGATGATAAAAAGGCATCAGGTGTAAATTCTGTTGATCACTCCCCCTGCTCATATTCCACCTCCAAATAGGACTCTCCAAAATAAACCCCAGCATGGTTGAGGGGACAGTCCCTGTCACCATGGGCCTCTCCCAAAAGGCAGCACAGAGCATAAGCACCAGGGCACTATGCATCATTTTGGCTTCTCCCAGACCTTCAGCCCTATCCCAGGAGGAATCTTTCCATCTTGTAAGCTCCTTGCACTCTCTTGTGCCATATTTTGGAGAATGCAACACCCCCTCAGCATCATGCTTAGAGAACACCAGGCCAGAGGGCTGTAATCCAGCCTCCAGTGACTGTAGATATTTTATACTGCTTCCAAATGTAGTAATTATACATCTACACTCAGGTGGACACCAGATGAGACTCAGGTCAAAGAGCTGTGACAAGGAGCTGGTTTGGAAACAGCTCACCCTGGAAACCATATTACCTGCTCTGGTGGGAGATTGCTTCTTGATCCTTGCATCCATCAGCACAGACACTCATGTCTTCTGAAAGAAAGAGGTTAACTCCCAAACACACACAAACACCCACTCTCTTTACCTGATATAGGCCTCAGTGCTGCTTGGCCCTGTGATCTGGTCTTCCATGAGATAGGTGTTGTGTGAGGATGACACCAGGTAGTGGCTGAGAGGTTGGGTCATGTCCTGGTAAACTTTCCTGTGGGAGGGGTTGAAGATGTTCCCCTCATCTGACAGCAGGTACATCAGGAAGCCATCCTTGGTCATGGCATTGCCCCTCTTGGCTGTCAGACAAACAGACAGAACACCCCACAGTGAAAATGAGATGCCACCAGGCCGTGCTGCCACCTTCACCATGGTGCTCTCCAGGAGATCCCAGAGGCAAAATGTGATCCCCAGGAATTCAGTGAAAGCAAAGACATGATATTCTCTAGACAAGGATGACACCTTCAGCTGCCTGAAAATGCTTTTAAAGCCCTTCCCAAGCACAGATTTTTATGACACTTACGTGGCTTTTTACTACACTTTACTTGTCCTTGATAACATCTTAAAAGTGTCAAAGACAGACCTTACCTCATCTGTCTCCAGAGATTTACAGCACGAAAATCTCTGCTTGAGCATTTCAAGGTTTCTTTGCACCAACCCAGAGAAGCTGCCAGATGTCTAAACACAGCCAGATAAATCCTGTCTAGATTATCCAACTAAATACTTAATTTGCAAAGAGGAAATACAAAATTACTCCCCATTTTGAGGGACTGAACTAGATCTCAGCCTAATCCTAAAGCCTGACAGCTGCAAAGCCTTGTCCCTCTCCTGAAGGAATAGCAGGATAGTGGAAAACCAGCCCAAGATTCTGAGCTGGCTCTTGGAACCCATCCTCCAAGGTGCTCCAGACTGATGATTCACCCACAATCTGAGCAGACAGACAGCTCAGTGTCTGCCTCCTAAACAGCTGTCACCCCCTTGGCCTCTCCTCAGAGATCCCATCTGCAGATGGCTTCACAGGTGCCCACCATCAAGGACATCTGCCTCCACCCCAGCTTCTGGAGAACACAAATATTGCTCCATTCTCAGCCTTGAAAAGCCACATGAGGTCTGGGCACCTGAATAACCCATCTGAGTCTTTCCCTCAGGGTTTTCATCATCCTCCAGTCAAACCTGTATCAATCCCCCTCCTGCTGTTCAGTGCACCCAAAATAAAACTGAAGAGAGAGATTTTCCAGCCTCTCCTCTGCCCTCTTCTCCTAGCATCTCTAGGAGGGGAGGGCAGAGGAGAGGCTGGGAAATCTCTCTCTTTAATTTCATTTTAATAAATAAATATGTTGATGCCCCCCTAGGAGAGAGGTGTTTTAGAAGCAGCTGTGAGGAGAAAGTAATGCACACGACTGCAGAAAAAAAAAAAGCAACAGCAATGCAATCCATAGTTCATCAAAAAAGCTAGATTTTGAAGCAAACCAGCCAGGGTTTTCAACTTACCTCTTTCATTGGGCTCATATCTCTGAATTAAGGCAGGGGCAGCAACAACAGCATCTTCTTCCTGCTGCACCTCATAGAGAAACCTCACCAGGTTCTGGCAGGACATGAACCCCTCTGGGTCCGAGTACATTTGGAAGATGCTGTCTATTTCCTTCCTCTCTGTCAGTATCTTGTAAAATTCCTCTATCTCATCATCCTCCAGAGCCTCTGTTTTGGACTTGTCACAGTGCTGTAAACGTAGAGGGGAGAAGGAGTGAAAACCTTCTTTCCTTCTGGCATAGGCCAGCCGTAATCTGCACCAGGGCTACACAACGCAGAACACAAAATAATTGCAGAGAGTTACTGGCCAGCACGTGGTCAATGACAATGGTTCTCATTGACAAGGCCAAT